GAACCCAGGGGAAACATGAAAACAGAGAAAGGGAATGAAAAACCGAAACTCTAACCATTAAAACTTACCTCCAAGAGTTCCCCACACGGATTCAACCTTCAATCAAGCTCCTAAACGGCTTTGGAGGCAATTAATCGGTGGAATAGAACTTTGGAAACGAGAGAATCAAAGGAATTTCGAAGGGAGAGGGAGAAATAATTCTCCCTGAATCCTAACCCCCTTTAAATCTTTTTCTAATCGCGACACTCTCGCTACAGCGAGATAGACCTCGCTGCAGCGACACGTCCCCTCGCTACAGCGAAAAAACCAGAGAAAACTGCACTCTATTTTTTGCAGAATCTTGTTACAGCGAGACTGCACCTAGAAATGCACCCAAAACTGTCGCTCTATCGCTGTAGCGAGACGGCAACAGTTCTGGTCCTTCCTCCCAAGGCCCTCTCGCTACAGCAAGAATCTTCTCGCTATAGCGAGAACAGCCCAGTGTTACGTCCCGCACTTAGGCACTTAGCCCATTTCCAGCCTATCTAGTCATACATACACATATATACACACATCCATGTACTTAATACACATAAAACATCATTTTCAAATAAATCAACTCACATATGAATATATATATATATATATATATATAATTAATATTACCAAAATTTGAGGCGTTACACTGTCTATGAATGATACTAATCCTATTGCTGTAGCAACTGTTCCAATAGCTGAGCCATATGTCTCATCAAGTGATCCACAAAATGCTCATCCCATGACCACTAGGTCTAAGGCGAGAATTTTCAAGCCTAAAACCTATGCTGCAGCATTCATGAAGTCACCCTATAATCATACAATTGAGCCAAACACAGTGAAAGAAGCTTTGGCCAGACCTAAATGGCTAAAGGCTATGAAAGATGAGTATCAAGCTCTTGTATCCAACCAAACTTGGTCTATGGTAGATTTTCCTGCAAGATGCAAACCTATTGGTTGCAAGTGAATTTTTAAGTCCAAACATAACCCAGATGGTAGCTTTCAAAGACATAAAGTCAGGCTGGTGGCTAAAGGCTATAATAAAAAACCAAGTTTAGATTTTTCAGAGACATTTAGTCCAGTAGTAAAGCCAACAACAGTCAGAGTAGTTTTGTCCCTAGCTGTCACTAATCAGTGGTCTATACATCAAGTAGATATCAATAATGTTTTCCTCCATAGAGACCTTCAAGAATCAGTCTATATGTCTCAGCCACCAAGATTCAACACTCAACATAAGGATAAAGTCTGCAAGCTTAACAAGGCAATATATGGTCTAAAACAAACACCCCAGTCCTGGTATTATAAGCTTAGTAACACACTTATTCAAATGAATTTTCATTCAACCAAGAGTGATACCTCTTTGTTTGTGAGGTTTTCCAAATTCACAACACTTATGATACTTATCTATGTAGATGATATCATTATTACTGGCACTTCAAAGGAAGAAATAAGGTCTGTAATTTCATTCCTTCATGACAAGTTTTCTCTAAAGGATCTTCGTTCCCTGCAGTACTTCCTAGGTGTTGAAGTCACTAACACAAAGGAAGACAATCTCCTTTTGACTCAAACAAAATATCTCAAAGAAATCCTTCATAAGGCCAGTATGAATGACTCAGTGCCACAACCTACCGCTATGGTAGCTAATCTGAAGTTGACAGAAAATGAGACAACATCAGTGCCAAATCCATCCTACTACAAATCTATAGTTGGAGCACTTCAATACCTCACCATTACGCAACTTGAAATTTCTTTTGCAATCAACAAGGTCTGCCAATATATGCACTGCCCACAAGAACATCATTGGAAGGTAGTAAAAAGAATTCTGAGGTATCTACAAGGAACCATCCATCATGGTCTTCTCATTCAAAAGAATAAGCAACTAAATCTGACTAGCTTCTGTGATTTAGATTGGGAAAATGATAAAGATGATAGAAAATCAGCAAGTGGCTACTGTGTGTATCTAGGCTCCAATCTCATTTCTTGGTCATCAAGGAAACAAAAATCAGTTTCAAGGAGTACAACAGAAGCTGAATACCGCAATATAGCAGATGTTACAACAAACATTATATGGATACAGTCATTATTAAGTGAATTAATGGTTCCAAAGTCTCTACCTAGAATTTACTGTGACAATTTAAGTGCAGTACTCATCACTATCAATCTTATGTTGCACTCAAAAACTAAACATTTTGAGCTTGATTTGCATTTTGTGCGAGATAAAGTCCAAAAGAATGAAGTAAGAGTTATTCATCTTTCTGCTGAGTACCAAGTAGCGAATACACTTACAAAGCCCCTGGCTGGACAACAATTTCATCATTTTCGAAACAAACTCATGGTTACCACTTTGGACACCATGAGTTTGCGGGGGGATATTAAGGGTAAAGGATGAAAGAGTTTCACTGTTGTTATAAAAGTTAGTTAGACTACTTCAGGTTGCCTCTAACTCTTCTTATAAATACATTGTTCTATTATCTTTCTAATGTGTAATCATTTTCTGATTCAATAAAATTTATTTTATCATCTTCTCTTTCTAAAACTCACAGGTATCTATTATTTATATTTATTGGCTAATTTAACAACTAATTTTATTAATGAGATAATTTTTTAGTTTTTATATTTCAACTTTTAATTTTTATCTTTTGGATAGCTTATAAGTTATATTTCAATATTAACTTTCTAAATCACAATATCAAATTTTATTAGTAACTAAATTATTAAATTTAACTTTTTATAATTTAAAATTATAAAAATAATAATATAAAATATTTTATTTAATAAAAATATTTTTAAAATCATAGAGTACATAAACCAATTAATAAGTGATTGTTTTAGTCTAAATATTTAACATAATTATATGTAAACAAAATCAATTTCATCAATTATATATATACACTACATCTAAATTTTATATTAATTCTTACAAAAATTAATAATTATTTTTTATATAACAATTTATGATCAGATGATAATATATTTTTTTTATATTTTTTATGTATATATATACATAGTTAGAATTCGTTGACATCAAGTGCCCAACTTATACATTTATGTTACTTAATAAATTTTTATATAATATAAAATTAACTAATTCGATTGATGGTTTTAAAATTTTTTATAAGTAGATGGATTTTATAAAAAATTATTCGATACTTTATCATATTACTTTATTTCACTAAATAATATAATTTTAAAATATAACTAAATAATAAAATTTAGATACATAACTACAAATGTTGAAATTACATAAATTTAATATTCATTATTAGAAACGATGAAGGTTATGAAATTCTAATCATATAATATTTTTTTAAAATATTTTTTATTTTAATAGTTGGTTTAGTTTCTTGTTTGTTGAATCAACAATACCGACATGTTAACCAATGGATGGAACTAGGAAAATATAAACAAAAGAACTAGAGTATAATTAATGATCATGTGAGTACACATCAAACAACCTTTTAATTAAAAAAAAAAAGAAGAAAAATAACACCACTCATTTAAATAATTGATTATCTTTTTTTAATCACAAGCAATATTTTTTTAAATTTTACACTTTTTTTAACAATCTTTTAAAATTCACCGTATTCTACATAATCTAATCAATGTAGAGTATAAAATTGATAAATTGTCAATTTTTTACTTTATCTATAAAATTTTATTTTATTTTTTATTAAAATTATTATTTTACTCTTTAGATGAACTAAATTTCTCTTAATTTTATTAAAGAAAATAGTGACAAATGAGTTAAATTATAACAAAAAAGTTTTAAAAAGCAAAGAATGGATGAATTTTGAATTTAAATTTTATCTTGTATTTTTTTAATCGAAAATTTGAATTTAAAGTGAACTATCTCTCTCTTCTACATGCAAACTTCAATCTACATCTACAAACTTTTCTTCTCCCATTCATGTGGTTGTCTGCATGAGATATTCAAACGGTGACTTTTTTTTTATCTCAAAATTAATTTTTTTTTCGAAACATATTAATCATAGTAATTTTTCTTTCTTTATTGTTTAGGATTATGAGTGTTTTTTGTTTTTATCTTTATAATTATGCATAATTAAACATTTTTTGTTATGAAATTAAAATTAATTTTTGTTATATAATTCTTTTTTAATCTAAGTTTAGTTTTATGATTTTGATATTATTTATTAATTAAAGTTGTTTCTTTGTTATTATTAATAGTTTTGAATTGATTAAGTTAATTTTAGTTAACTAGGCAATTATACCATTGATAACTTAATGAAAATAAGAAGTAATTTATGTGTAGAGATTATAAGAATCAATTTTCACTAAAATTTTTAATTAGTTAATTAAATTTAATAATATATATGCTCTTATTTATTTGTGTAAGATCATTAGGATAACACATAAACAGGAATGTGTATAATCTTCAACACATAAAGTCTTAGTATTTCATCTATATAAAATTAACTTTATAATTTATCTATTTTTTACTTTAATTCTTATTATTATTAATTCTAAAATTCTCAATCTTTTTAATTCGTTTAACATTCAATGAAAAATAATAACAAGTATTTGTAAATATAATATCTGTAAGAATAATATTAAAAGATTGCTTTTATCGCAAAAGACGATACACTGTAAATTAAAAACTTATTAAATTTCTAAAACCTTCAAGGTCTAAAACTATTGTTTTTATTTGCCTGAAACCTAAATTGTCATTTCGCTTTGAGTTACTACATATATCTTAGTCCTTTAGCCAGCTACATTAAGAGAATTTCATCAACATATTATAGGCACCACTGCCAAACCTTTTCTTCATAGGTACTAACAATAACATAGGATTCGTGTGCATTAAAAATCATAACACAACTTCATTACATTTTTGGTATAAGGATGCATAACCAACAGATAAAAGTTCTTACTTTATAACTTCATCTGGATAATATATTAGAATAATTACATAGGCATATTATAAAATATTAAACTCAAATTTTGTGCTAGCTGAGTTGTATGGTTGCTTAAGAGTAATCTATAGTTTCCATCTCCAAATTAGAGGGGACACCAAGTGCATGGCTGCCAGAATTGGAAACCAAAGTGATCAAAAAGTCAAAGATATCAGTGGCTATAACAGCAGAGGTCACATCTTCTTTGTGCAAAGTTCTCCTTTTGCCTTGGATAGCCATAATCCAAGACCTTCTAGTAAGCTCCTCAATGAAGTGTTCACAAGCCTTGGAAAAAACAATAGGAGCCTCACCTGATATCATTTTAACATCCTCCCCAGATTTCTTCATGATCTTCTTGATCCTTGCCAATGGTAGAGAGTGTGGTCCTGTCCTTCCTGATATTCCACCACACAGTAACCCTGAATATGCACCAGCTTGTCTCATGTTAATTTTTGTTTCTGCTTTACCTTCAACTTTAGTGGTCTTTCAAATATTGGGTTGCAGCATCAGTGTCAAGTTTCAGTGTTATATATATCAAATTTTTCTGTAAAGCATGCCATTTTCAAGCTGAAAATTTACTCCAATGACATGGCCGGCCAAGCCTGCTTTGCCGGCTAATTGAAATTTTAATAAATAAATAAATTAGAGATTATATATATTAATTAGACTATTTGACTCCAAGACTTTTATGTTGTATATATTAAATTTGTCGCTTTCTTCATGAAACATTAGGAATCCTGAAGTAAAAAAGTATGTAACGATTAGTTTTTGGATTTTTTAAAAAAACTATTTATACTAAATATGATAACTTAATATTTTCAATTTTTTAAAATCTAAGAGAACTCCTGTCAAGCGTATTGTAAATATTATGTTGAAATTATAGTTAATCCTTTAAATTTTTAAATAATAACAAATAAGTCTAAATAGCAGGTTGAAATTAAATCACATTGATATATATATATATATATATATATATATATATATATATATATATAGATAGATAGATATAGAGAGAGAGAGAGTTTCCGCTTGAATACTATTTATCACTAATTTCCAAGCCACTTGAGCATAACACGTGTTTTATATGAATAACTATCCTAGGCAAAAAGACAGGATCATTGTCAGATTACACTATCAGCAAAATCAATACAATATGGTAATGAAACTTGTGCAAGTGCAACTTCTCGAGGTGTAGACAAGAAAGCAATGATGAACAGTGAAGTCTGAATGGCTCGCACAAAAATATATTAACTAATGCAGTTTGCTCTGTATTAAAGCAGGATGTCTAGTGGCATGCCTTGGAAATTGAAAGAGAAGTAATTAGCGCATAGGAATGCGATATACATACTTTCAATGACTCATTATAGTATGATTCTATATCTTCACCCTCAATAAAACATGCAATGCAACCATAATGATACTTATGGATTATATTGATTTTTAATTAATAATGATATCTTCTAGTGATTATTTTCCATATGTGGATGAGTTAAATTACAATATATTGATAAATTATATGATAAAAAATGAAGATATTTATATATTAAGTGTGTGAAAAAATCAATTCTCAAAATTATATATAAATTGTTTAAATCCATAATAATGATTTGACATGTTAATTGTATGTAGGGTCATGACACTTAAATAGAAAAAAAAAAATAGATAGTTGCAATGAGTGCTGTGAGTTGTACAAATACAAGTGAACTGTTAGACCCACTATGACCTAAATTTTGCTTTCCCAACCCCCAAAGAAAGAACCTGAAAAAGTGTAGTGAGAATAAAAGAGAGAAGATAAATTGTACCAGAAAAACCTGCAGAAAGGAAAGTAGCACATTGTTAATTATCGGCTTCAAGAAAAATACGTGTATAAAGTAATCATATAGGCCTCCATAGTTATATGAGTGATCCTTTTAAAGTTTAAGCGAAACAAAGTGATATATCCATCGGATATATACATGTGTCACCACTGGGCTGCATTATAAGTATACATGTGATAGAGATCATGATTTTCCTGCTAAATAAAAAAGTACTAAGTGGGTCACAAAACTCATATGCAAACTGTTCAGATGTTTGCTGAATCTTGGGCAGTTGTGGTAAAGAGTTAATACTTACAAAGAGCTAGAAGACGATGTGTAACATCAGCTACAGTGTTGGCCTCACCTTTTTATGATAAGCATATATAGATTAAGCTTAGACATCTCCATAAAGCCATTTGGGACATGGATACAAATGAAGGCAACAGAGAGAAGGAGCTCCCTTCAGTCCAAGCACCGAGAAAGACGGTTGCCAAAATATACATCTCACGCTTCATTCACACAATATTAGTATTATATAGTATCAAAAAAAGTTTCACATATAATATACCCTAACTGAATACTATTATATGAAGGCGTCAATGATTAATTCAGCAACCCAATCTTTTCTTATATCCATGAATGGACTGAAAGAAGCTCCTTCACTCTCTTTCCCTCTCAATGTGAGAAAGCAGTAGTAGAACAATTGCACATGCACGTTTTTCCTTTCTGACACAGAAAATGGATGAAGTATTATTATATATATATTTGGGTAATATTTTGCAGGCAAAGATATTATGATTAAATCAACCAATTAAAATTCTCACAATGAAGAGCTAATTTTATTTTTATTAAAAAAATGATAATTTAAAACTTGGATAAAAGAATATATATGCATGTAACCATTGACAAATTAATCTAGACTTAAATAAAAAAGGCGAGAATAGGAAGATATACGTAAAATTAACGGTTTAAATATGACAGACTGGACAATATTATTGGCTTAGAGTAAAAAAAATAATGATTTATTGGGGAGTTACTATAAACGATTGCAGATTTCGTCAAACGAATAGGCGAAATATACAAAGCAAGTAAGAAAATGGAATTTTCAAAAATTAGAACCCATATGTTTCGCCCTGATCTGGATCATAATCGATATGTTATTACAAAGCAAACTAACTACTTATAATTAATATGAAAATAAAGAGAAATAGACTGAAAAGACATATGTTGGCTCAAACTCCCACAAAGTGAGCTTCAAATAAAAGAAAACTTTAAAACAAGAAATAGAAGAGGACGTACTTGCAAGGGGAAGAAGAAGGGAAAAGTGTCATAGCAGCAAAAACCAGATTCTCATTAATTAAAGAAGTCAGCAAGGAAAGGTATGTGTCCATGCAAGTTTATTATAAGCTCAGAAAGTAATAACTATGCAATTCAGTTTTCACTTGATAAACATTTTCACAAAAAATTGTTACCAAACAACCTAATAATTAGGCCATGCTAGCTATAATAGCTTGTAGCACAGATCACTAAGCCAAGGAAACCCTACTTTTGAGAACTAGGGGAAAAACCAAGAAGATGAAAGAAAGCATATAAATCTAACAAATAAAATTGTCATTGAAAGTGAATAAAGATCTCTGGAGTATGAAAAGCTTTAATTATTAAAATTTGTATGACACATTAGAGAAAATAAACTTGCAAGAACTTGAAGTGATTATGGGAAGACCAACCTTAGAGCCAAAGCTCAAAAGCAGGTGCTGCCAGAAACCCTAATTCTGGTATGTTTTTATTGATACCTGCACTGAACAGATGCAAGACAATGAGAGTTATAAAGAAATGAAAAGTATAAAGACGAAAAAGGACTTGGAGGTGGTGAAAACTGACCAAGGGAAAAGAGAGAGAAAGATTTAATTAATTGTTTATTTATTCAAGTGTTTTTTGTTTTTCTAGAAAAGAGAAATTGATAGACATGATGGGTCATTGTCCCCATGAGAGTCACAGACAGGACAGTGAATTCAACATCTAAAGAAATATTCTAGCTAGGGTGTGACTGTGAGAAGTGAAGGTAACTAAATTTCACTTGGGGTATTATTAATATCACACTCACTTTTTTTCTGGCTAAGTTGCAGTCTTCTCCTTTTACACACCGTTAGATATTCACTGTTTTGTCAATTCACATTTTATTGGCATAGTTTCTTGCATAAATTCCTGTTCTTCAATTGTTAGGTCAATTTTTGTGCAGTTGAATTTTGCAACCTTGCATCTTAAAAAAAGTATAGAATAATCATTTTAATTTTATATTATATAGACATATACTTTATTATAATTTTAACAATTAATTTTTAATCAACAATTATTATTACAATTTATCGTCTGAATTCTTAGCACTTTAGATACCTCTTGTGCACTGTGCTGGTCAGGGAAAGCCTGCAGGGTGAAAAGTGTTAACATTCCTTCAAAGAGAAAAAAAAATACTAATTTTTCATTATTAGGAAGAAATGTCTTTAAATGTTTTTTTTATTTTACAGGTGTATTTTGTAAATAAGAAGTATATCATATAGTATACAGTGTCAGTTCAAATAAAAAAGTTATTAGTAATTAAAATCTGACAACTTAAAGTCACTGTCAAAACTACTGTTCATACGTGAGCTATTCTCTTTAATCAACGACTTCTTGAAACCAGATCTCTATTTTAATAATCATGATTATTAATTGTATCTTGAAAGCTTGTGGACAGAATATTTTTTAAGTTAATTTTAAACATTTATCCGTTTTCAAATCCCTTCTTCCAAACTAAAACAATAATTGATGATTGATACAGTAAGAATGAGTCGTGTTATGAACAAAAGGATCATTTGTAAGGGAATCTTGTAAACAATAGCGGTAAGCTAGCTACCTAAGAAAAACAAAGGAGATACAAACTAAAGTTGATCATCATGTATTGGGTATTACACAGCACATATATCTCATACAAACTTTCTTTTTATTGATAAGAGCCGTTGTGGAGTGCTTCTAAATTTCTAATCACATGTCTACTTTTAAATTTAACTATTCATTTTTTTAAATGTTTGATTTCTTACTTTTAGTTTCATCTGAATTAATTATTATTATATCTAGTTTATAGTTTTAATAACTTTTCTGCTTTAATTTATTATTTTATTTCATTTAAAAAATATTGGTATGTATGAAATACTCGCTAGCTAGTACTGTTATATAAATTAATTTGAATCATACCTATTGATTAAAATACATATTTATTAAAAAGTATAAAAGGTTATTTGTTTAAGCCATAAAACAAACAAATCCTTATTCTTTTTGTCCACATTTGTTATTAGTTGTGTTTATAATATATTTATAGATATTTATATTATTTAATAATTTTTTATAAAATATGAAATTAATTAATTCAGCAGTAAAATTATTTTATATCATCTTTCTAAATTACATATATCAAATTTTATATAATTTAAATACTTATATATATTATCTAAATATTTAATATTTATTTATATTTTAAAAATATATTACTCGTTAAAATAAAATAATATAATAAATTACTCGATAATTTGATTTTTCTTATAAAATTTTATAAAGTTAAGGGAACAGTGTTATGTTCAAGGGAACAAATACACTAATTAGAAAAAGACATCCCAACTTGCACACCTTGCGAAAGAGAAGAGACCATGATTTATATTTGACCAAATCCTGCAAACGATATAAATTGAGTTTAATTTTAATGTTTCCTATGTGTAATTTTTTTATAGTATCAACTAATTAGAGTATATATTACATAAAGTTTTTAAATTAATTATTATAAAACTCAATAATTTTTATTGATATAATAATTTATAATTAAATAATTTTATACAATCAGTACATTTTAACTAAATTCATAAATTAAAGTCCTCCTGTTTGAAGATAAACAACCTATAGGCATAAAAATCGCCAAAGCCTTTTTAACTTTCCTCCCCTTCATGAAATCTCTATGCTGTAAAAATGATCAGTAAGATTTGAGGGAAAAACAATTTGAATTACCAATCCAAAGAATAGAAAGAGGCCCAAACAAAGATAAGTAATTACAGGAAAAGAATAAATATATGTTGTAGAGACTCAATGATTTCAATGCAAAAGACACAGAAACTGCTTCCTGGTGAGAAGAGATAAACTTGCTCCTGAATAGTTTTTTGTTGGGATTCTGTGTAGTGTAGTCTGCCATGCATAAATAAAATAACATTTTAGAGGTATACATAGCATTTCCACATAATTTTGTAAAACTGACAACAATCCTCTGCCACATTTGTTTCCACACCAATAATAGATTTAAGTTGATTTTGAAGAGTAAATACCATAACTATCCAATATCTACCATTTATGACAAGCAAAGGCATAAAATAATATGATAAAAGTGGTTTGAATTAATCCCACTTTAGCCAAATTAAAACACCATATTAACTTGTTCCAAAACATAAAAACCATTTAGCCATCTATGAATGCTCTTGCTGATCTCGAATGCCTAATCACACTCCTCACAAATCATTCCAACACAGTGATCTCTCATAGTACTTTACGGTATCATAATGCTTGTGCATTGGCCTCCACACTCTAGCCCACTTTGTATTCTAAGTATATAATTATGGTGTGTGTGTGTGTATATACACCCATTCTCCAATCTCCATTGTTTGGGATGTTATGTTTACGCACAATGAGTTGCTTGCTGAGTGCTGAACATAACTAATTCATCGTTGTAGCTTGCCAGTGCTAGCACAAACACATGATTGTGTTAGAAAGAAACTAGAAAAAAAGATAGAGACATTATAGGAAAAAATATATTTATCATTTACTAACAAACAAATGTTGTCAAGTATTAAGATAGTATTTGTTGATATAACTTTTGTCTAAAAAAAATGCTAGTATAAACTTTGAAGGTTTATATTAGCAAATAACACTTTAGACTAACCTTTGATGTTTTAATAATATATAATAATATTTTTATAAATAAAGGTGTGTTTACATTACTGTATACTCTTTTTAAACTAATAGTTATAATTTTTTTAAAAATATTTTAGAGATTAAATAATATTTATTTTTCTAAATAAATTAATAATCCTATATTTATAAATATAAAATTAACAATAATAATAATTATTTTATGTGTGAAACGGCATAAAATGTCAAATTTGATTTACAAGCCACAGAGTAGAAATTATCATAAATAAAATAATTTATTAGTAGGATATAAAAGTTTAAAGTTTATACAAATACTTTTAGACAAAGAATGTATTAACAAAAGTTATTTTAATATTTGATAATTAGTAAATAAGTATATATATAATGATGTGAGATTGAAACAATGAGACGTAGGAGCAACCACATTGTGCACTAGGCTTAGCTTTCAGAGGCGAAATCATGAAAATATGAAACAAGTGCTTGAAATATCTAACGTACAATTATAAACTCTTAGAAAAGTGAGAGAAACAAAGAAATCAATTTCCACACACAAAATAAGAGGCAGTTGCCATTGTACAAATATATGAGCATCGCCTGTTTAAGTTTTAGTGACTGTAAGAGTTGAAAAAGAAGGAGGTGACAATATAACATCTTCCAGATTTCTGCCAACTTAAATAAATTTACTATTACTGTGCATAAGGAATAATTTAAGTATTAAAATCATAAATATTGATCAATAAAGGAGCAGAAAGATCTAGGATGTAAAAATCATAAAATCAACGATTTGGAAAATTAAATTGAAAAATGATAAATAATTAGCTAAAGCAATAAGTGCTGTACCAAAATTAATTGAAAAAGAGAAAAAATTAATCACATTAAAATTACTTTGTAAAAAAATTCAAAAACTGCTCAACAATAGTTGGTCAAGTGGGAAATGGGAAGTGTTAGACTGGATCAAAATGTTTGGGTAGAGCGAGATTTATAAATCATTGACTTAATTTTTATTAAAATTTTTATTGTTACTAGCATTTGATGCAATAAAATAAACCAATAAAAAATATTAAATAAAATATTCAACTTAATAAAATATAAGTTTAAGACACATTTTTTTAAGACAAATCTCATCGATTAATATTTATGTTTTGTGTTATGAAAAATACATGATATGTACATGCGCTTGGGTGTATTAGTTTGTTTTAAATTTTAGAAGAATTAATTTTGATAAAATTATTTTTTGTGTTTGAAATGATATTTTAAAAGTGCACATAGGAGAATATTTTTGCTAGAATAAAGCAATGAAAAAAATATTTTTTAGAGACAAAATTACCAATATAAATCTAATATAATTTTAAAAAAAATTTATGATAGAGAAAGATAATTAGAGAAATAAACCAAGGTTGTAATTGTAAATACATGCTTCACTTTTCAGCAATATTTTCCATTGACAAATTTCTAAAAGTTTGGCTATCTTCATTTTTGGGACAACGATAATTTTATTTCAGTGAGAACTCGATTCTTGTAAATATGACCTTACAATGAAAAGTTACCTAAATAATAATAAAAATGACGAGCATTAATCTTAGTTCCAAAGGTTGAAGAAAATACTGAAAAGTTTTATTTGAAAAGAAAATATTTATTATCTTAAGAATATTATTTTTAAATGTTTAAAATTAGCTCTAAGAGCTTTTAAAGTTTTGTTCGGAGTTAAATTGGAAGAAAGGGAGATGAAAAAACTTATTTGATTATCTTAGTTGAGAATTTTTAAATCTAAGAAAAAAAATTTATACATCCTCTTAATTTCATGTTTTTAGTTTACTCTAAATTGAGAAAAAAAATTGTTAACTTTCATTCTCCTCTCTTCCTTTCTCTCAAACTCTTCCTTTTTTCTCTCTCCACAATCTTCAAAACAAAATCTAAAGGATTGGAAGGTTTAAACCAGACACTTGACAAAAATTATTTTTCCTCCGAGAATTTCTTAAATAGTTTCCCAAAGGAGGTCTTTTGCCCTTTGCCTAAGCTTTGCAGGAAAAACCTAAAGCCAATGTCAGTGAACAATGATACCATATGCATAGTTTGCGTGTCTTTGGCAATTAAATTTATAGTTGTAACGATGCTGTACAGAGGAGGTTCCACGATGCCAAGATGATAAAAGCTTGACACCTCTAATTCTTAAATTATTACATTTTCATATTTCATATTTTAATATATGTTGAACTCTATGTATTCCCCTATATATATATATATATATATGATATAATTGTACATAAATGACTAGAACATAATTTAAGTTATGTATATAAAAATCTAGTCTAAGAGGAATGCTTTTATGTGGTGGAATTGTGTTATTTCTAACATATTTGGATGCTTTACTATTACGCTATCATTTTATAGCAGAGATTGTTTGAAATAGCTGGCAAATTAGTTATGATGATAGTTAATTGGACAATAGAATAGTTGAAATTCCTCTTTAATATATATATTTTAATTAATCCATTGTAATCACTTTTTCCTCCTTCCATCCGTTAGTCTCTCTCAATCTCAATCCTCCCTTCTCTTTAGGCTTGCTATTGTTTCTCAACATGCTATCTTTTTTCTGGTCACATAACATGGTATCTAAGCTTCCATGGTATTCACCATGAGAACTCTCCTACGCTGAGAGATACACGAGTTCATTTTGTCCATGAATTTTTTAGGCACCTAAAGGTGTTATTGAGTTATTGAACTTATTTCTCACATGATTAATTTTAGGTAATTATGAAAACTTTACACAGGTATAGCTTAATTTTGCGTAACTTTATAAAATCTTATTGATTTCTATACTTTTCTACTCGCATTAAGAATTAAAATAAATTACATTTTGTAAAATTAGAAAGCAAAGTAAAAAGTTCTATAAAGTCAATAACTGAAGTGCTTAACATTTATGATCTTAAGGATAAACATAAAAAATTACTTAATTTAAATTTTATTCATTCATCACTTTTTCTCTCTCAAAAATACACTAACATGATTGCTTGAAGGTTCTTTAGTAAGGTCAGTACATTACTCATGTCACTATTGGTACAAATTTATTGCCTAATTCCGACACTAATTCTGAAATTTTAATTATTGCACACTTGTTGCTTCTGATTTCTAGAGAAACTATTATTGTGATGAGTAATCTCCTTTCGCTCATGTGATGATGATATGTGAAAATTGCTGCTAACTATGGTTTATGTTTTTGCAAATTTACAAATTAAACAAAAAGTATGTTTGTTGATTAATTGAACAAATATCATTCCTCCTCTTCATGGCACAAATTATGTTAGTGGTACCTCTAAAACGATCCAGTACCGTTATAAAATCTGTACATACCACATCTTCATAATTGGATAACATACATTAATGCCTAAAACTGCAGGTCTCAAGAGTTCATTAATGCATGCATATACGAAAAGAAAGTTTCTCTGAGTAAAATATTAGCCGTGCAATTCAGGAGAGAACTTTTACTAGCTAATCATAAAGAAAAAGAAAAAAAGACATGCACACTCACCAAAAGCATCCAAATCTATATTTCTTATAATAAGTAGCAATTTCAACACTCACAAGTGCAAGAATAACTCAATTGACATAGAATATAGATGAATGTTAAAATGATTTGACATCATGAACACATTTGTGTTCATCATACTGTCTGAGATATGAGGAATATATCAGGTTAGTGGATTCCCCCGGGTTTGAGTATCTGGCTGTTGAGTTATTTGTACATATTTGACCTCATTACAAGAGAACATGAACGTCTAAGCCATGTCTTCGATGATTTCCTACATCACATTTCCTAGGAATTGATTGATAAAAAATCTTACCAAATCAGAGCATTGAGCATAACACATTTTAGGTAGTGGATGGCTCAAAACTATGATCCAACTCAGATTTGTGAGTTTAAAACAACTGGAAAAGCAGACTCGTCGATCCATCTCCAAAGGTTCGGAGGTCAGCAGGTTTAACCAATGCTCGGCATAGAGGGCAAGTCCTCTCTCTCTCAAACCTGAAAAAAAAAGTGTTCTTGTTTGTCAACAGAAGTTATAAATAAGATTATGCAAATATCAGAATACAATTTAAATGACTTTTTTAAAGCCAAAACATATAAAATATACTTTCTTCTCATGGTTAAATTTTTAGATCTACAGTGAGGGAATCCTGGAGCTAGCTTTTGCATTGACAAAGTTTCTCCTCTAGCAATCTTAAGGGCACACCTCACATGGTAATGCATTTAGGAGAGCTAAATTTTCCTATGCGCTTGCTTGGGGTTTGAACCAGATTAGTTTAAAATTAAAATATTTGACAGGGCTATCTAGGTAGCAAGAATAAACCTCTGGTGAAATGTATATTCCACATAAGAAAAACAGTACCTCTGGTCATTAGGTGAAAAGTTCACTATAATTGGATGAATATTCCACATTATAATAAAAACAGAAGTGAAATTATTGGTCAAGAGACAATTTATAAAAATGATTTCAAGCACATCAGAATACAGCTCAACTGACCGATATACAAGTCAAACACATCTCAAATATACAATCCTTTTATCATTAGTTTATTTAAACGTTTGATGACACTATCAAGTGGCAAGAATTAAATTTATCATAAATGAAGCTTCCGTAGCTAGAGGAAAACAGTGCTTCTGTCCATTACGCAAAACTGTACTCAAGATGCATAGTATAACCAAAGACCATATTTCTGTAGGGTATATTCATGTCTAAAAGTGCACTTTCTTGAAAATTCTATTTTTGCTTCAAGGCTTTTACAGAACCAGTTCACCTCTCACCAGTTTAAAGCAGAAGAAGCAAATGATCAAGAGAACCCTCTCTTTCCCTTTATACATTCTCTATAACTGTTATGTTTACCAAATTAATACTTAAGTATGATTAAATAAAGGAGGATTTTTTTCCGGGACATCTCCTAGCATAAATAAATATGAAAATTTATAACAATTGTATGGTATTTTTGAGAATTAATAGGGGAACTTATGGGAAACATTCTTAGCAGATTACTAGTCACTAGTCTAACCCCAAACAAGTTATAAATGAGGAATAAAGTATGAACTCACCACTCTAATACACAATCTTCACAGAAAATGTGTTTACAGCGCAACAAGATAGGGGCTTGCATCTTCTCTTGACATATAGCGCATAGGTCACCAGCAGCATTAACCTGTGTTTCAGTGCTTAGAATTTAGAATTATATTTAAAAAGACTGCCCAATAAAAATATTCAATAACATATATTAGTATTTACAGAGTTTTTAATCCTTAAATACGAATAAGCTCCACTGGAAAGGAATGGTTGAAAAACAGGAAGACAGAAGACAACATCCAATAACAAAAGCCCAAAAGCAAAACATCATACAAAAGAAAACCACATCTATGGAATAAAGCTCTCCTGCCCCTCTGCATATAACATAATGAATTCCCATCCATAAGAGTAGCCATCAACCAAGCTCTATCCATTACTAAATGAAAACGACAAGAATTTTATCCATGAAACTTGTAACATTTCTCTTCAGCCACAGATTCAATAAAACTTCAAATAAGGCTCATTGACATAAAGCTTATCCCATGGTATATCAAACAAAAATCCCAATGAATGCTGCTTCTAGCCATTAACCAGAACCACAGAAAATTTAACATTTCTCTTCTGTCATAGATACAATAAAAGTGAAAATAAGGTAAATTTCCAAAAATCTTATTCATCCCTACTCCTGTGAAAACTTTGAAAGTGACTTGGCAGAATTTACTCTATTAGAAGATGTATCTGTAAACTACTGTAACAGCATATGTAGGTTAAGTTGTCATTATCAGTCAGTGCATAACAAACCACTGTAACAGAGTTAGTTACTATGATAGTTTCTATCTCTATAAATACCTTGTATCTCTCATTACATCATATAATGAAATCATCAGTATTACTGTGACTAGTAAAACACTAAAAACAAATTGTGACATTCATAAAATTCAAAAATTTCTTATGTTCCTCATTCCATTGCTAACTTGTATGATTTTGAATACTTTCTGAAATTTTCAAGGAAATAAGGAGGAAGAATAGAACATGTGCCATAGGTTTTCTTGAAAAGATCCCTCTCCGTTTCATCCATAAAAGTATTGTACACAACCACCACATGCTAGCAAACAACTAAAAACTATAAGAACTCCATGAGCATATATTGCCTTCTCAGAGATGAATGTGTGACAAATTAATTGATACTCTACATTTACAAGACAGAATTGAAGACATTTTAAGTTAGAAACTATGTTTAACTAATCTTTAGACAACACTTGCATTAACTTACGCAGCTTTATTCTCAAACAGACCAGATATATAATATTTGGAGGAGAATAGCTAAATAAAAGTCATTTTCTTATGCAACTAACATTTACATACCTAACTTCAATATATTTTATAGGAATGTTTGGATTTATAAAAAAAGCAAGTTCTAACTTGAAAAAAAATGTCACATAACAGAATCAGTCATCAGAACATTGTAACAAAGGAGAAAGGTGTTCAGATGCAGTTTTAAAAAATATATATATAATCATAACAGGAATATTACCTGTTCCATTGTGGCATAAACCCCATAGTGAACTTCCTTGCTTGATAACGCTTTTAAGGCAGAAATGAAGCATTGGAACTAAAAGCACATAGAAAGTTGAAAACAAAGGAAAAATTTAGCATCTTACACAAATATTGTTAATGCAGAAATAGGCAAACTAATTTTGAAGAGTGAAAACATACCTTCTCAAGGACAGATGTGAGCTTGAAAGTTAAATACAACCCAGTGGTCAGTGATGAGAAGAGACTGCCATAATCCCTGTTCAGAAAAAACCGGTACCAAACCGGTGTTGGCAACAAGGCACGATACAATAGTAGGGTGTACTCAACCAAAGTTAACATTTGAGCCTAGAAACAAATTTGATGATTTTAGTTGTTGTAACAGTCAACAATAATTGAAAATTACATGCTTTTGTCTATGGAAGACAATAATCACCTGCCGGCGGAAGTTATGACCTTTGCCATTTTTGTAATAGATAAGTAGGACACACTTGACAGCCATTGCAGCTTGCCGCACCAATGTATCTGAAAGTCAATATATGGTGACATTCAATACCAACAATAATTAGAATAACTAAAGGCCAAAAGATACCAATTTTAGAGGAATTGATGAGACAGAAAGCTGCAATCAATTAAGGCAAAATCAAATTACATTGACATAACTTTATCTTTTTGTACATAATTACAAAAATATCACCTTATTTTCATCATTTCTGTTTTCAAATTGTTGTGAGGAAATGGTAAAAATAGATTTTGTTGTTTTTTAGCATTTTGTTCTCAAATTCTTGAAAACAAAGTGGCAATTTTTGTAAGTATTGATGAAAACATATCAACTGAAAATGAAAACAAAAAACAAATCACACACCCTAGATTGGAAAAGAAAAGTTTCCAAAAGAATATTGGATGAAAGAAAACTACCAATAAACAATGCCAAAAATCAGTTTGGATAAATAATAAGCATTCCATGGAACACTTAAAGGACTTCAAATGTGCACAAGCTGGAAGACTCACAGATCTTGGATCAACATTGAAAACACATCTAATTTGTAATCAATTTATATATTCCAACAAGTTTTTCTTTGCTGCATACAGGAATAAACCTTTTGAGCAAAAAATTGAAACAAGACCAGCAACTGATATTAGTCCTCAACTGATAAGCTATTTCAAATTTCTCCATGCATTCTGAGACTCAATTGTGATATAGGAACTTATTTCAATAGTTTATCAAACAGGCTAAAGTGAATAGAAACTTGACACTTGAGATCTCAAGATCATGTCTCCCAACAGTAATTCTGGATCTACAACACAATTTCAGTTAAACAGACCCCTTTTTCCTTGAATGTATGATTGAGCAATGACAGTTGATATCAATTATCAGGTAAAGGAAAGTTTGTCCATATGCAGAAAGGGGTAAACAATAAAATAAACTGCTAACTTTACTGAAACAAATTTCTATACCACCTGATAATTAAATAAAGAATCCATTTTAATGTAACCTATCTACAAGTAAGATTTTTTTAAATAATTAAAAATTTCAAAATAAAAATGAGTTATGAAACTACAAAAAGGTTTCAATTTCATCATTAGTGATCAATAAAATAGCAGTGAAATTCAAAACCCCTAGCATATATATGTAAAACATTCAGTGTTTCACCTAGACTACATAATTATTTCTAAGGAGCTTACTTCATTATTGTAATTGTACTCCTACACTAAGGACATACTTGTATAACACTATGTAGTATGTAAATCAGAACAAATAAAAGTTTATCATTAATCCATTCTACAATGTAATAACTGAAAGTGCAATCACAGAAATAAGTCCATACCATTGACCAAGATAATGAATATTGCATGCCAGAAAGGTGTTTCTCTTGGAGGAAACATGACCAGTGGGTACAAAAGATCATCTTTTCGATACCACCAGTAAATGCACATCACGTGAAGCATGAATGCAGAAGAGATACCAACAAGAATGGAGACTTTCCTATCTCCCTGCAAAAATAGAACTTGTGTTAGCCTTGTTTGTTTATTTATTTTGGGGGGGAGGGGGGGGGATGGGGGATGTTGAGAGGATAGAGAGTAAAGGATTTACAAAATAGAAACTTGGTTTAGGAATGGAAATTTTAAGGGATTATGAGTAAATCACCTTTAAAGCTGTCTGCTTCTTAACAATTTCATTTGACTTGAACATCACAGCTGATATCCAAATTGTGACAAAGAAACCTACAAGTTCTCAGAAATGAATATCACCAAGCAATGTGAAAAGAATCAAAAGTACAAATTGAGAGAAAACTGAAACTACATGTGAAAAGCAGCGTATCATGCACCCAATCAAAGGAAGCAACTTTAAAGAAGAAAAGCTTTGTATTATCAATAAAGGATCACTAGAAAAACATTGCATGAGCATCATTACTTAGTTGACTTCACAAAATTTGTCTTTCCTTTTCTTACAATTAGAAAAGCTGCAAATTCCTTGTAAAGGTGAGACTGACAATTCCAAGAGAGAGAAACAGTGAAAAAAAGAAATGTGCAAACCATGTGCTTCTTAAAATTTTTGTCTCACATAATCTCTTATTTTTCTCTACACCCTTTCCTCAGAAATAACACACAGTAATAAAAGTGTCGCCCACATTGTGTTGTTGGACTTGGAATTAATGACAAGGTAGCAAGGCCAAGATAGATTTAAGCAAGGTAGGAAATAAAGATGTCAGTAAATACTTAATACTACTTTCATAGTTTCCCTTACTCACAAAGGCAAGCACATTTTTTGTGCTACCATTATTCCACCAAGCACATTCCCTATGAACAACAAGCCAGGTTTCCAAACACAACTAGTAGCCAAGTTATATGAAAGCAAAGCAAAACCATAGTGCATCATGCAGAAAAACATGCCCAATAAAAAAAAATTAGAAAAGGACTTGGTTAGGCCACCATATCATCAAAGCATAGCATATAAATCAGAAACAATTTTGAATTTTCCCAATATTTGGCCAACGGATAAACTGATTAAAAGGTGCAAAGTAAACAAAGGAGAATTCACAATGCCCGTGGATGATTCTATTGGAGCACCCTAAGAGAAGCATTTGAAGCCTAATTTATCATCACAGACATACTCAACAAGTGAAGCAGAATAGAAGTGGTTATACCTTGCAAATGCTGGCGGATGAAAACAACCAACAACAAGAGCGAGAAAGGAAGAATCTGCTCAATCCACTTGGCAATTTGGTGGATATCAAACCTCTGGTAGGAAGAGGAATCTCTACTTTCACTTTCTATGCCATTCCCAGTGGCATCACCGTCAACCTGTCCACTACCAGCCAAGGACGAAGCTGAAGAAGACGACACCAAAGGAACCCTCTCACTTCCACCATGACCCTCAGCACCATCATCATCCAATGCAGGCAGTCCTTCTCTATCACCCATCACAACATCACAATCATCATAACCCACTTGGCTCGATCCACTTGGCTCATTTTGATCATGCTCCCCAGTTCCGATGATCCTTATTGCAACTTCCCCTGCACTGTTCCCCGAAGCAGCAGCATCAACCGGTTGAGTTTGAAGCTGAGACCTTAATTCTGAACCAGAAACTCCATTGTTGACAATCACAGCGTCAGAATCATCGGGTGATCGTAGAATGCCAGAGTAATCCAATAAAAAGGAGAGTGGGGAACGAAAGGGGCTAACAGAGGGAAACCTCATTCCATACCAGGTAAGACTTCCATTACTGTTACCATTGCTATCATCACTACTACTAACACCTCCAGACGATGATGATGACGATGATGATGAATTAGATGAAACGGTGGCGTACTGGTCTGAATTAGCACCCAAACTTTCCATCTTAGACACAAAACAAAAAATAAAAAAACCCTAATTTTCACTTTACCTTTCTTCTGTTTGATCTTACCTCTTTTTCTACTATTTTCTAATTTTGGGTCTGATCACACGTTAAAAAAACGATTTTTCCCCAAAAAAAAGTTTTTTTTATGACCCAGAATGGGAATGGAGCTAATTGAGAGAGAGGGAAAGAAAACAAGGTGAATGCCCAAAAGGGGTGAGAAAAGATGATAATGAAGGAAGAAGAGAAGAGAGATGCATTAGCTTTTATGTTACCTGAGAGATTATGGATTAAACAAATGAGAAAGAAATGAAAAAGAGACAGCTTTGGGTACAATGGAAATGAGAAATGGCTAACGGGTGAAGAGGGTTTGAGCTGAACCAGTAACGGTGGTGGCAGAAAAATGAAGAAGAAGATGATGAAGAATATGATGAAGGAAAGAATAGGAGAAAAGTCAAAGTCAGGGAGCTGAAACCTTCATTTTCTTTTTCTTTTCCTTTCCTTTTTTTTTCCTTTTTCGTTATTATCGTTTTTAATCCAGATCTGAGAGAATTTTATTAATTATATATTTTGTATATCAATGAGTAGTTTTTTACTTTAAATTAATTATATATTATATATATACTAATAGTAAATAAGTCCGAAATTATGATTAACTAACAGAAAAGATTATGGTGGAGTGAGAAGAAATAGAATGTTTTAAACTTAGGAGCCAATAAAAAAGGGAGTTGGTGAAGAGAAGAAGGTGATATTTTATGATATGATATATAATAATTGATGTTACTGGTTGGTAGGCGCGAGAGGGACGACAAAGAAACGCGTTTAAACGGACACTGTCAGATTCTTTTCTTCCCCTTTCCCATTCCAACCAATGAACAAAAGTCATCACCACCCTCTTTTTTATTTTTCTCTTTCTTTTTTAATAATTTATCACTCTTTCTTTTCTATTATTATTTTCAAAAATTGGCTATCATTTCGTTCTGTCTTATTTAGACAATTGCTGATAATTCAATGAATCAAAACTAAGAATTAGTTTTATACATTTTTTTTTTGTAAAAAATGTCTTTATAAATGCATTTAGTTCAGTTGATAAAAACTCATTTTATTAGTAATTAAAAAGTAAAGTTAATGATTTCCTATTGTAACTTTTTTTTTCATTTTAAATTAGTTCTTTGAGTTTAATAATTCAAATTAATATTTTAATTATTTTTTTTGTTATAGTAATGTTAAAAATTAAATTTTTTAATAATTGTTGAAATTGATTAAAACATTTCTTTAAATACTATGTTACATTTAACATACAAGATTTTTTTAAAAAAACTGAAAGATTGAAGTATAGTAATTATTTTCATCAAACCTTGATTTTGAATATTCGTTTTTTTTTTCCTTTCAATAATAATGAAATTATTTGAATCTAATCACTCTCCGTGTCTCATTTAACTTCAAATATAAAATCTTCATAATTTAACAACAATTGATAAACTTGGTTAAGACTTTTACTTATCATTAACAAAAATCCACATTATAAAAACTTGTTGCATGTTGTGACTTGCACATAGAGAACAAATCAATCAAAATAACCAAACTCATTCTTTTATGAAAAACCTAATATTTTGCAAGATTTTAATCAGAATAACACAAAAATATTAATTTAAGAAAAAAATAAAGTTATAAGACTAATTTGAGTAAAAAAAAAAAAAGGTAGAGGATTAATTTGAAATATAAAATAGAGTTAAAAGGCAAAGTTACTATTTTTCTTAATAAAAATAAAAAAACTAAATAAAAAATTTTCATATTTAAACTTCTAGAGTTAAAAAAAATTGTGTATGTTCTTATTTATAATGAGTACTTAATTCATCAAGATCAATTAAAATAGTTATATATATTATAAAATTATAATCTCTTTAAAAAATAATTGATATCTTATATTAAATAAATAAATATGTCTACTTTTATGAGTAAAGAGTTAATACAAATCTTATAATAAATAAATGTAAAAATAATTAACAACTAATACATTTGGAAAAAAAATTCTTATAATTTAGACTAAGAAACAATGATAATCATCTTCTATAAAAGCACCTTTAAAAATAATTTAGTTGGTAGAATATAGTATTATTAGCAATTTAAGGATCAACAAGGATTCTCTCATACGATGAGCCTTCTCATAATCATGAATACCTTCTCGCAATGGAGAGTGGAATTTCGGTACAAGTATTTATCTGTTTGGGAGCACGAGAAAAAGAACCAAACCAATTAATAGTTTTGTTTTTTATTTTGATAGAAATAATTTTGAAAATAAATTTGTTTTAAAAATAATTTGTTTTTTGGGTGATATTTTAAAAGTGAGTTTAAAAAGAATTCATTTTATTAATTTAAATAGTATAGTAGAATCACTTTCGAAGTGTAAATAGGTTTATTTTCAAAAAAATTTCTACTCGTTGAAAAAGTTTTAAAAATTACTTCTTTGAAGCTACAGCAAATACTTTTTATATTAAATAATTAGAATTTAAAAGAAATAAAAAATATTTAAATTAATATAATCTCGAAGACTGTTGATTGATTGATTTCCAAGTCACCGCTGCTAGTGATTGCGACAAGCGTTTTGCCGCTAATGTCTACGTGTGAAAAGCCTGGCCAACGACATTCCGTTTAAACGTCCAAAAACAAACAAATTATAAAATTATATAAAGAAGCAAGTCATTGTTTTCTATCCCTTTCTCATTCTTGTCTAGATCAAAGAAACAAAAATTAAAAAACAGAAAATAATTGATTTTGAAGTTCACAAGTAAATAACACGGATGAAACAGAACATCCCAGTATTTGGACAAACTAACATAGTATACGTGTAGGTGACAGTGCTAATCACAATCCATCCATGCCCCTAATGTGACAAGCCTCTGACACTGCCATATCAATTTCAAGCTAAACAGAGAGTTACAGTATCTACATAAAGGTCTTATTCATGAGGATGGATCAGGAAAAGGAAAATGGAACATGAACATACGAGAATACTAGTTTCATTAGCCCCTCCAGTTATCTTTACGCTTCCGAATCTCTCCTAAAGCTTCAACAGGTGACTTGCAGCCCACTTTCTCCTGCAAATATTAACATTTCAAGAAAACCTTCAGGTTCAGCTTTGGCAACTTTATTTTTTACCGAACAAAAGAATAGGAAAGAATGTCACAAATTGCAGCTTCATTTCTAAGTAAATGTGTTAGAATTTCAATTTGATTATAATTAGAAAGTACTAATAAACTCCTGAAGGAATAACTACGTATGTATTTCATTCCCTCTGCTATATAAATGTGAAATCATCTATTTGTTTCACACTTTGAAGAGGGATTGGAGAGGTGACATACCTGGAGCTCAGCTAGATCAACCCTCATAAATGGATTAGTCTCCATCTCATCCTCAATGGTTGAGGGAATTGTTGGTTGGCCAGCTTGCCTCTGATTCTGAGCCCAGGTTAATTTTTGTTGGATCCTCAAATTGTCTGGCTCAAGTGTCAGAGCAAATTGCAAGTTCTTCACTGAGTACTGGGAAAAAAAAAAAACAAATTCAAACTTTTATTAGTGATAAATGATATTTGCAAGGAACAGTATATAATAAATAAGGTACTGATTATAGGCCAAAAGTAAAACTACAGTAAAACAATCTATATTTTCTCCTTCCACCTTGGATGTTCTCTATGTCTCAATGCCGCATTATTGATTTGATCCAAGTCATAAATTTTGCATTTTAAGCATAAGTGCATGACCAATTACACAAATGAGCTTCTTATGAACTTACAAGTCACTAAGGGTTATCTAAAGCAATACACTTCTTCTCAAATCAGAAATTTACATCTGGGAAGCTGGATCTTAAATAAATCAAAACCAATAGTATTTTCAGCAAACCAAAGAAGTGCATTCCAAAGAATGAAGGATTTCTGGATTTGCTTGCTGAAGGGTTAATGAAACAGGATTTTAGGACTTAACCAGAAAATTCATCATTTAAACTTAGAAGAAGATCAGCCATCAATTACACTCCCCAAAATACATATTTTCTGTATGGATGGATATTTCAGTATTATTTACCTCATGGCCACAGTATACTCGAGTTGGTTTTGGTAATGAACCTAGTGTTACATTGAGTGATTGATACATCTGTTCTGCAGTTCCTTCAAAAAATTTCCCACAACTAGCAATAAACTGTAAGCCAACAATAACAAAATAAATCTAGAGATTTAAAAGAAGGATCTCTTCAAAATTCATATAAATGTAAGTTTTCATAGAGAGAAGAATCACAGCCAAAAATAGAAGTCACATACCTTGACTTCAAGCACTTGGCACAGCTTTAAGAATAAGTTTATTATATACTTTCCAAAGAACTACTTTTTTGCTGACATGTTTCATGAAAACTCATTAAAATAAAAAAGATTGATCAGTCATCTTACTAGTGTATCTCCAGTAAAAACAGCTGGATGCTCGTCCTCTTTGCCAGTAACATAGTAACTTATGTGGCCTTTGGTGTGGCTGAGCAAATCAGAGAAAGAGAAATGACTCGTGTTAAAAATAGTGGTAAAAGCGTCTGGAGAGAGGGTCAAAGTGAGGTTGAACCACTACAGAAAACATCAAGCTATACCAGAAGAATGATAATTATTAACAACTAATCACACACCAACCAAGACTAGTAATACTTGACCAATGACAAGGTGATTCCTGCTTGGTATCTTATCACACAACTCAATGCATCTAAGTTTTAGTATTAGATAATCAGGGAGAACAATTGGCACAACAAGGTTGGCAAACAGTACAGAATTAATTCTTCAATGCAAAGCTTTTCAGGTAAGAGAAACACATTACAAAAATCATAGCTAGGCGTTAAAGACTGACATAATATTCACCCGTCCCCAATCCGACTCCAATTCTCGGCATTCAAATATTATGCTCGACGCTTAGCAAGTTTATGAGTTTTTCGAATTTGTTCAAGCATTATTGCACTATCAATATCAATGATAGCCTATCATTGATATAGAAACATGAGTTAGACTACTACTTTCTTTCATGTTATTTTAATTTTGGGGATTAGACTATTTCTATTTCAAAGAAGACAGAGAAGACCTTAACAAACAGTTACAACCGCAATTTATAATGCAATGCACTAATTTTAAACTCTCCAATTTTATGTTGAGGGGAAGGGGTGTCATTGCCAAGAAGAATCTAACGTTGACAAATTGAGTAAGCACTTAGCATGCATACCAAGGCGTGTGAAGGGCCAATACAGTGATATCAGCTCCAAAAGAGATCTTATCACCGTTTTGAACTTGATCAGTGCAACCCTTCACATTATCAACGGAACCACCATAAACCTTAATTCCAGGCACCAATTCCTTCATCTTGTCATTGCCACCAGCATGATCCCTGTCACATAATCACACACAAAAACAATCACAAGGTGTTAAGTCAATATTGTTGTTATAATTAGAAATAAAGAAAATGAATTTGGGGGAAAAGGGAAAAGGGGGGGTACCAGTGATGGTGGGTAGTGAGGACGAGTTTGAGAGTGAGGCGGTGAGAGTTGGCAACTTCTAGAACCTTCTCGGGTTCGACGGGGTCCACCGCAGCGGCTTCTTTGGTGGTTTCGTCTTCGATCAAATAGGAATAGTTGTCTTGGAGACAACCTATGTGATGGATTTTCATTTTCACTTTCTTCCCAATTCAACCTCAACCTACTACTCCGTCTTCCCTATTCTTCCCAACTGCAGCAGATAAGTACTATCACCTCACCTTAATTATATATATTTTTTAATATTTTTAGGATTTTTTAAATATTTAAAGTATATTTTTATAGCAATTTTTAATGTGCGTCATTTCAACACATGCAAAAAATAATTTAATAATGTTAATTATTTTTATTATTATTGTTCTAGATTTTCAAACACATATTATTAAAAAAGTGAAAAATAAAAAATACATAATATTATATACAATATTTAATTTTTTAATGATTCAAATAAATATTACATATGAATAAGATATTAAAAAATTATGTTTTTCTTGTTTTTTAAGAAAATTATTTTTTCTATAAAATAGGTAAAAAAGAAGTAATAAAAAATATTTTATATAAAAATAAATATAAGAAAAAATAAATGTCAATAGATTTTTTGTTTTGCCTTTTTTTAAGAAGCCAGATATTTACCTAAATAAAATAAAAAAAATCAAATATTACGTATATACACTAAAATAAAAATATTTTAATTTAAATTATATAAAAGTTGATTAAAATTGATTTCAATTCTAAATATATAAGTTAATTTAAATATTTTTGACATGACATTAAAAAGATAGATTATAATTAACTTCAATTATAAAAAAATTTGATTATAATTGATTGTAATTTAAAAAAATATTGATTTAAATTTTCTTAACGACATAGTCAGTTATATAAAAAATTGATTATAATCAACTTTAGTTTAAAAAACTTTAATTTAAATTATTTTTTCAACATAGTATTAAATACAGTTTAATTTTAATAATCAACATTATTTTTATAAATATGATAGTATCAAGTACAATTTAATTTTGATACAGTATTAGAATAAAAAAATCACATTATCAATCAATTAAAACGTATAATATTTATATCCATATTAATATAATTTTGAAATTTTAATTTTATATAAAATTTAAATTTCATATATTTTAGAATTTAAATTTTGTCTTTAAAAATATTATTTTTATATTGATATCATTTAATAATTTATAAAACTATTATACAAAAATATTAAAAAATTTATTAAAATTATATTTTTTCTTTAATTTTAGTAAGAGATTAAAAAAAATTATATAAATTATATGTACATTGATATCTAAAATTATATAAGTTATGTATATATTATTCTGTTTTAAACTAAAGTCAATTATAATTGATTTTTTTATATAACTAAAGTCTATTGCATTACCAAAAAAATAATTTAAGCAAAGCTTTTTTTAAATTAAAGTTAATTACAAATAATTTAAATTAGAACTTTTTTTAATTAAAGTTTATTATAATCGACTTCTTCGTATAATTAAAATTTATTATAATTAACTTCTTCATAGCAATGCTAAATATAATTTAAATGAATTTATATATTAAAATTGAAATTAATTTTTGTTTAATTTAAATTAAAATATTTTTATAATTTTTTTTTATTTTGGTGCATATATGTAATATTCAATTTTTTATTTTATTTAAGTAAAAAATCTGAAGAAGCCTTATACACATATATTATTTTATGACATAAGATTGTTGAGTTTTTTTTTTTTTTGTCATCATAAAATTATAATATTTTTTATAGTGAATATGACATATAATAGTGGTTGGTGCCTTTTGAGAGTATTTGAATAATTGATTACCAATATTATTACAAACCGAACATTAATATATATTTTTCGTTCCATAAAACTGAGAACCAATAAAGACCAAATTTGATAGTTGACCGAAAAAAAAAAAAACTGGTCTCAATGGACCATTTTGGGCCTCAAGCATAGTCACAGCCTTTAATCGAAGCTGTTTCGGACTTGAACCCAAAACAAAAGCCCGTCTTTTAAACGGGTAAAGCCTTCGACCAAAAATAGAAAAAGCGGGTAAAGCCCTAAGCACCGGAGTCTATATAAATCCTCTTTCTAGGGTTTGTGTTTGCATTTACAGCTTCAACCCTAAAGCGTGCGGAGCAGAGAGAGAGGCGCAGTCATGGGGCGGAGTAAGCGCTAAGAACCTTGATCTCTTGCAAAATTTAGATTTTTCGTTTTAAATTCATTTCTGCTACGTTGAAATCCCCTTATGTTTTGTTTCATGGAATTCTTAATTGAATCTTTTTTTTTGCTTGAAGCTTGAAAGGAGTTTGTTTTTTTTGTTTTTAATTAAGCTCGGTTTCGGAAAATGGAATATCATATGTGATTCATTTTGTGATTTGATTTGTGGTTTATGCTCGTTGAATGTAAAGCTAAGTAATTGTTTTAATTTTTTGGTTAATCATTTTTTTTTTTGCAAATTTTCTAGTATTTGCAGTGATTAAGAATTATAATTTAAATGTGTGTTATTCCATCTGAAATTTTGTGAATGGTGTTTGATTTAGGACCTGCAAGGTGTTATAGGCAAATTAAAAACAAGCCATACCCAAAGTCACGATTTTGCCGTGGTGTTCCTGATCCCAAGATCAGAATTTATGATGTTGGTATGAAGAAGAAAGGTGTTGATGAGTTTCCTTTCTGTGTCCATCTGGTTAGTTGGGAGAAGGAAAATGTTTCAAGTGAGGCACTGGAAGCTGCTAGGATTGCTTGCAACAAGTATATGGCAAAGTTTGCTGGAAAGGATGCTTTCCATTTGAGAGTCCGGGTACACCCCTTCCATGTTCTGAGGATCAACAAGATGCTTTCGTGTGCCGGAGCTGATAGGCTCCAGACTGGAATGAGAGGTGCATTCGGAAAGCCACAGGGTACTTGTGCTAGAGTGGCTATTGGGCAGGTCCTCCTTTCAGTTCGCTGCAAGGATAGTAACAGCCATCATGCACAGGAGGCCCTTCGTCGTGCTAAGTTTAAGTTCCCTGGTCGTCAAAAGATTATTGTTAGCAGGAAGTGGTATGTATTTGTTCAATTGGCTTATGCTACCTGTGCATCTAGACCTGACTGCTAAGTTTTCCACAATACCGGACTTTGAATTATGAATTATACCTTTATCAATTATAAATTTGCTTGTTTATTCTTGTGTTTAACTTGCTAGTCATTACTGTTTGAAATGCCTGCTCAGGGGTTTCACCAAGTTCAGCCGTTCTGATTATCTCAAGTTCAAGTCAGAGAATAGAATCATGCCTGATGGTGTTAATGCAAAGGTAATGTGAAGCTGCAAGTGAATGCAATGTCTACTGTTATTCAAACTTTATCGAATATAGATTTTTTCATGCTGGGGAAATTTATTTCTTGTAAAATTGGAAGCCAGGAATACATTGGAGCATGTTTCTGAATGAAATTTGCCTTGTGTATTCAATTAGTAGTATTCTCTAGTATTTTTATTTGATATGCACTATCCCGCATCCAATTACTGTATTGATTCTGACTATTCTGGAGTCTAGGTACGATTAAGACTCTTCACCCCAGCCTACCCACGGGTGTGTTTAATGGGATTGAAACTTTTCATAATCTCAGCCTGTATTGTAAACTAAGCCACACCTTGGGTGTATTCTCTAGTTATTTTAATTTTACGTGATTGGCATTTTAACTTACAAGTTATTTTTTTGCGGTCTTGCAGCTTCTTGGGTGCCATGGACCATTGGCAAATCGTCAACCTGGAAGAGCCTTTTTGTCCACCGCTACTGCATAATCTGTCTGTTAATTGGAAATATTAGACTTTGGATCGCATTAGATTCGCAAGAGTAAATTTGAGTTTCTTTTGTCTGCGCATTACATTAAACTAAGTTGATTTTCACTTTTGCAAACCTTGTTAATTGGATAATTTTAATGTTATATTTTGTTTATGTTATTTTGCATTACCTCGTTTTTAGCATTTGGTAATTGATTCATTCGATAATTGGCGCTTATTGGATATGAAGTTTCATATTCTTTGCTGTTTACTTCAATGATGTGACGTCTCCTCCTTGCTATTGATATTGTGTTTCTTTAATGGGACGAATCATGTTTTGGCGCAAACCGACGATCTAGTTTGAAATTGGATTGAATAATGGATGATTTGATCTAATGTGTACAAAGAAATTTTAAATTAATAAATAGCGTCTATATGAGTTCAGAATTTTAGTTAGTAAATTTTCATATCAGGTACAAAAATTTAAATGATACGACAGTCAGAGTTTAAAATATCTTTTATTATGTTTAAATTTTTAAAATTATTATCCGTAATGCTTTTTATACTTGTTTCATGATTTAATTATGTATTGACAATATCAAATTCTTAAGAATTCAAAAATTTTTGAATCCTTGTTTGACAGCAGCGTGATTATTATCTTATGTTGAGAAATCTACGGACTATAATTATACGAAAATAAAATTCCCATTCCATTTGACGTTCGTCATCTCCCCCGTTTTGCTTCTACTATATTCGCTACAGATGATCATCCTTTCGATAGGGGTGGGCAGATTTTTGTCAATCAACGCAGGTATGGGTAAAAATGGGTGCAGCTGACAATTTTCTAAATAAATTATAATCGATTCGACTGAAAAATAACACAGCAGAGTCTTTTTTTTTTTTTTTTTCACTTGGAGCTTTTTCACTTTACTAATTAACTTCTCCGTTTTTGCTCTTCCTCTCCTAGTCTATGATTGAAAGCTACTCTTCGGTGTACATCCAAATTCCAAAATATATTATTCCACTTTGGCTGGAACTTTTGGATAATTCAACATTGGCGAATCAACAGTTGTCCATATACTTTCGTTTTTTGAAAAAATATTTTCTGACTTTATTTTCAATTAAAATTTGAAAGGGAAAAAATTTAAAAACAAATTAAAGAATTATTTAAGTTTTCTTCTTGTTGTTAAGATTTAATGCAGGTATAGATGAGCATTAAGGGAATAGAAAATATGTGATGCACTTCAACCATAAGTATTCTTTTTTGTACCATTTCTTCTTCTTTTCAACCATTTTTGGATAAAAGAGGATGAATGGTTTATAGGTTACTTTCATAAATTTGGTTGTCGTTTGAAGAAGACGATGAACTTTCTGCGTCACTCCTATTTGTGCCACACATTTCCTCTAGACTACTCTATCTCTCTTCTCCTTTTGATTTTTTCATTAGTAACGGTGGATGGCGAATGGTGGTTTTGACAAAGATAGTGAAAAGAGCATAATTTGATGTAACTCACCTGAATATTTTCGTATCCGACCAACCCAATTGTATCTAACCAATGCTAAACCTTAATTTCAGTTATTAAAAAACCTGAGAACATTAATATTCATTTAGATTGATGGATAATGAAATGTACACAAAAGTAGATAATTGTCCGGGTAGATAAATATGTGCAGTGGTTAATGGTCTTCTTTTATGAGGAGTAATAAAAAATATTGTCATAAATTTATAATAATAGTAAATTTTTAAAATATCTATCGTAATAAATGGTTAAATTAGTAATTTATATATTTAATAAATAAATATATCACTTATAATCTTGTTTATAAAAAATAATTATCAATATTTTTTTTGTTCTAAAATATAAGAAATATAGACTTCATTTTAAATATATTAGTTACTGTATTATTTTATATTTTTGTTTATCGTGGGATTTGTATTAATAAGATACTCATATAAGTGAATATAATTACTATTATAGATATTTTAGAATAGAATATAAATTTATGACACAACTATTTTTTATTGGTTTTATAAAAATTAATTTTTGTTTTTTTTTTCTAAACTGAACTAGAAATGATATTTATTTATTTATATGGATAATGGATAAGTGTTTTGTTAATACAAATCTCAAAGTTATAAAAAAAATTAACAATTAATGCACCTGTAAATATATTTTTATTTCTTATATTGTGGAATTAGTTCTATTAGAATTAGGGTCATAGAAGGCCTGTAGAATGTTTTAAGTTAGAAGAAATTTGATCAAATTAAGTGCATGGTAGTGTGTAGAATGTGTACCTTAACCATAAGGATTTCTTCATTATATGAATGCTCCATGATCAAAGCCAACAATTAATGACAATGATGACCCAATGCTAATTTGATTAACACTTAACACCCTATAGAATATGAGCTATGCGACGACAGAATTGAACAAATTACTTTTGAATTGATTCATTACAAAAACAAAATTCATGTTCAATGCCCAACTTATTCATAGCACATTGATCTACTTACTCTTTCTTCCACAAGGATCCAATGATGCATGCATACACAATTCATTAGATTTTTCTATCTCTTTATCATCCCTGTATCACAAAAATTGCATTAACAGATTAAAGAATCATTAAAAAGAAAAGAAAAAAGAATTATATAACCTTAAACATTTTATTTTATTTTTTTACTTTTAAAAAATGTTTTATTATCAGTTCACTTAACAATTTAAGACAGTTATGAAAAATACTACAGGGGAATAATGTTGAGATTATAAGGCATAATTAATTGCTAAAATAATTAGAAGTAAATTTAACGTTATAAACAAAGCTGTTTATTGTTATTATTAAGTAATTTCAATTTAAAATTATTTTTATAATAATATAATATTTATATAATTTAAATAAAATTATAATAAATGCATAAAATAATAATAAAAATTATCATCAAACATAAGTTAACTGACAAAAAAGTTATTCTTACTTAAATATGATTAATTTTAGTAAATACAATTATTTGGTTATCTACCCTGGAATGAACAAATGCATGCTATGCTCCATTCGGTGAGTAATGTGGACGTTTCCATTTGAACGCGGCATTTGCTGGAAATTGACGCATGGAGCGGCAAAGGGATATTAAATGCCGTCTTTAATGGTTGTTAGGTTTATGACATTTAATCTGGATTTAATGGATGATTAGAGTTAATAATACACTCTCTGATATATTTTCTAATATATTTTTATTATTAATTAAAATTAAACTTTTGTTAAACTCAACAGCACTTATAAATAATTTTTTTTATAAAAATATTTTTATATCTTCAATATAATAATTGTGTACTTTTTTTATAAATTTTTTTATAATAATTAGCCTTGGGTATTATAAAAAAATATCATAATAAGATCGACTGATGTATAAAATATACTGACCTTAATATTATATTTACTTAAATCATATATATTTTACAGTATATATTAAAAATAAAGTAATATCAATAAAAATATGATATTTTAAAAACTAATACATAATTGCTTAAAAATATATATTTTAAAAGAAAAAAGACTTTAAAACTAGGTTAAGACAACCAAAATTATTATCTAAACTCATTTTTAAAATAAATTGGATTTAATTTTAAAAACTTGAACTCATAAAAATTAACATCAAGCTAGTACCGGTTGATGGGACATGTTAAGACTTTTACATACACCCTAATCAGTGCTCTAAATATGTTGGTTAAAAATTAAAAGTAAAATGTTTTTTTTTTAAATACATTGGACTGCATTAAAAATTGAGAGGTGAGTCAGTTTATACTTATATTTTCTTTTATAAAAAGTTAATTTTGATTCCTTAATAAAAAAACATTAGTTAACCATTATTTAACGATATTACACTGTACGAAGACACGTAGATTTAATGTTAAATATAAAATTTAACATAAATATGTATATCTTTCCACGTATTTCATATTTTTTTTCATATAATAAAATTTTAAAATAAGTTGTTTTTTATTTTTATTTTTTACAAATTTTCTAGTCACCCAAACTTCATTGATTTTTGAATACTCTAATACAACTATATAATAAATTACTACGAATAATAAATTACCAAGCACATATTTAATGTTTGTATTTGGCTCTTATCTTAACTTTGTTATTTTTCACCTATATAATATCTCTTTCTAGTTGAATATTGTAGTTTGTCTTTTGTTTTAAGGCATTCAAGTTAAGTTTGCAAACTCTATTCCATGTTCAAGGTTCACATGTTCAAAGGTTAACTCTTCATTGAATTGTAAAAAAAAAAATTTATTACTTGCATCTTCTATATTATAGAGTTTATAAGAATTTTTAATTTTTCGTATACTTATGAATCATCATTACATTTTTCATTAAAAGTATCACTAGTGTATATGCTTCTATAGCCTACACACTCACTCATTATTTTATGAGTCTATATCTTCTATAATAATCACATTTTTTCCCCTTCTTGCTCTCTTTTGTTATGCCTTTATTTGTTCTTATTGCATTTGTTCTTAAGTTTTATTTTGCCTTTGTCTTTCCCTTCCTTTTAATAGTTTTTTTTCAGCCTTTTAAACTTTTATTTTTGTTACTTTTGCATTCTCCTATTTCACTAACTCAGATCAACAAATCTTATTTCATATATTGGGTGTTAGTAGACGTGCATCTCATTATTATTTCTCTTTAACATAATTGTCATCTCTATCAAATCAATATTTTTTTTCAATATCTTTGATACATAACAACAATTATTAAAACTAAACACATTCAACATTTTGCCATATGTTTCAAGTTAAATTTCAACTTTTCTTCCTTCACACTCTATTTTTATCATCTTATTCTACAAACTTACCCCCACAGTGTATGTGAATTGTAATTTTTTATTTTACTTGATAAAATACATTCAAATTAATTAATTAATAAAATAAATAAATAAATAAATATATATATATATATATATATATATATATATATATATATAAAAGATAAACTCATTACGTTAAAAATAATTACAATTTAAAAACTTAAAAATCCTTAGAGTACAAATTTGGAGGAAGAGGAAACATTATATCATAAGTAAAAGAAGAAAGTAAACATAATTGTTCCTTAAACAATCAAATGATGCATAGTAATAATTATTTCTTAAATTTCACATGTTATTTAATGTGATAAATTAATATTTTATTATTTATTTTTAACATCTCTTAACATCGTAGATTAAATTGAATGATAATAGTTAATTTTAGAATTTAACATTTCAAATTTTAAATTTAAAAGACTTATTTAGTCAACTCTATGTATTTGAAGCAGTAAAGTAAAAGATTATTTTATTACAAAATTTGATACTTATTTATAAAAGTATTGATATTAATTTTTAAAATTAATATTAAACATGTAAATATTATAATTATAATAAAATATAAATATTAGCACATACAAATTTAAAAAGTGTAATAAAAAATATATTTTTAGAATGAAAATTTTCCACTGTTTTTATCAGCCCTCTGGACATATCTTTGTCGACCCAGTTTGGCCTGTTATGTTCCAGCCCCTTTTGGAAACGTGTCTCATTAGCAGTACTGAATCACTCATCTAAGTTCTTATAAAATAACAGTAGAAATATTCTGCTCTAATAACACATTATGCATTGCACAATAAATGAAAGAAAAATTCTCGTATCTTTATGGGAAAAGAAATTCTTCTTCTAATTAAGAGATTATATACCATTAATTAGATGATAGGAATCAAATAAAAGAGTCTTAAATAATTAGATGGTGATCTTTTGTGGGAGAAGAAAGAATTTCCCTAAATGATATAAGCTATTCGCATTAAACTCAAAAAATTAAATAAGGAAAGTTAGAGAACTGTTTAAGAGTATATTATTCCTTGGATAATTCATTATTTTTTAAAACTTTCAAAAAATACACAAGTTCATCTCTTAATTTAATGGTTATTACTCATAATTTGATAATTTTTACAAAATTTAGCCAATAATTATGCCACTTACTTATACAGTTTTACTACATGTTTCGCCTATGAATAATGCTGTTACGAATTTTTTACGAATATTTAAGTGTGTTTGGTTTACTAGTATTTATAAAAAGACTAAAAGAGAAGTGGGCATTTGTGGATATAGAACATAGATATTTTAAAAATAAGCAAAATTTGACGCGGTATATTTTTTCAAAAGCATGTTGAATCGACTTGATTTTTTTTAAAGACGAATAAGAATCGATTTTTGGATACATGAATGGAAAAGATTTTATTTAGAGAAAGAAAATTCACTTTGGTGATAAATTAAAAAATAAATATAAATATTTTATTTAAATATCTTTAATTTTTAAAAAATATACGACATCATATAAGATACCCGGCTTATTAATGCAACAATCCAAACGTCAAATTCTTGTGTAGCACTCTATAGGGTCCATTATCAAAGCATGCCAGCTAGTTGAATTTATGTCTTGCTCCTCCATTTCAAACGCTTAGACTTTCTCTCATTAAATCCATGCTTTTTTTCCTTTTTATGTTGAGCTAATTTCAACAGCATAAGGTGAACATTAATGCAGTGGTAATTGTTAGTTGGATAGAAGGTTTTGTAGGTTAGCTCCCTCACTATTAATTGCTGTCATTGTAGATTTGTAGTTAAGTACGAAAATGATTTTGGGTTCTTTTCTTTCATCGTGAGATAACCATATCTTGGGTTCACCAACTCCTACTGTTTATTTTAACCTCTTTATTTATTCTATAGTTTCATGTCATATTTTGCGTGCCCAAAAAGTTTAGTTTAGTTCTATTGCACGCCATTTCATTTGATCCTCGTTAAATGGCAAGTGGGAGATTTTGAGCTTCATAACATCTCTCTTCTTGAACTGGATTATATACCCTACTCGTTATTGAGAATTGATCATGCTTCATTTTATTCTTGGTATCCTGACCCTCAATTTCATTTGAAGGTAATTTCTCTTAGCTCTTATAAATTCCAAATTTGAATACATGCACTCACTAATTTTGTTTGTTTAATATAACATCGCTCATGATTAAAGATTGGTAAATAAGGCATTTCTACATTAGTTGAGTCATTATATTTTTATTTAGAATCTGATTCCATGCATTATGCCATGTTCTTCAAAGATCTGCAAATACATGTGTTTGAATGTATGTGTGTGTGCATGCTTTGCATGAGAGTACTATTATGATATGCTACCTCTTCCAATTGCTTATCTACTAACTGTTTTATTTATTATTTTTGGTAATGTTAAAAAGTTGAATGATGCTTAGTTTGCATGACTTCACTGGTGGAATTAACAAGTTGTTTTTTTTAAATGTTGATATTAAGCTTGCTTTTGGTTGCTTTAGTGAAACACTTGACCCATCTGCATCCCTTTTGAATATCCTTTATTCCCGTAAATGTCTCAATCTGGTTACTAAGACAAATAGTTTGCAGAATTTGATAGATGTACCTTTTAGAGTATACATTGACCAGCTATGGAGGCAAAACCCCAAAATCAACACTAGTGATTCACAATAACATTTTAAACTAGGAGATTGACGACCACTTTTAGCAACAAATGCTTTTCTTTATAAAGTACGAAAGAGAATCAACTTTAGCTTTTTCTTTCTTTCTTTTTCTGTTTCTCTTGGATTCTCAACTCAATTACTACTTTCCTTTTCTTCCCTCTTCCTTCTTGCTTGTTTTGAAACATATAAGAACTGGTTTTATGTGGGAATTTCTATATTTTCAGTAAAAAGTGCACTTTAGTCCCCCATTAACTAAAGTTCACAGTGAAGTCTTTGCCTTTTTCTTTGTGATTGAAAGAGTTCAAATAACACCTCAAATATTGAAAGAAGAAACTGTCCTCAACTGATTTATTTTGAAAGAATTATCAACTTCAAGACCTGCTACATGGTAAGCATGTGTATGATTGAGTGTCTTAATATTTTTTCCTGTTCAATGTAAAGCTGCAATAAGTGATGTTTTCTTTATCAACAAACAACGAATATTTTCATGCTAAAATTTAAGTTCTCTAAGAAAGGAGTTGATACAGCTTATTTGATTTGATTCGTGCATTATTTCTAAGGCCAACGTTGGATAAAATTCTCCGTAAGTACTTGCAGGAGGAAAAAAACAATACTAATCAGAAACACTAATGTTTAAGTTCTGCATCACTTTCCGAGTGCCACATCAGTTTTTTTACTATATGCATTCTTACTGAATGACTCCATGCTGTGAACAAAAAAAGTTCATTTGGACTGTGAACTAGTTCATCCTTCTTAGCTGTACAATCATCTAACAATTTACCATAATTTCCAAAGCTGAACCAAGCAAGGATGATGAACTGTTAAAGGTCAGGACTTGGAACTACCACTTGCCTCCGTCTCACACCAGACAAGCACCCATGAAGTTCCAGTTCCATGCTGTTCCATTTGTTCTTCTAAGCTTCACACTCTCTCTCTTTGGCCTGATTGTAGCTGACTTGGACTCTGACAAACAAGCTCTCCTTGAGTTCCTTTCCACTGTCCCACATGCTCCAAGGTTAAACTGGAGTGAGTCTACTCCAATATGCACTTCATGGGTAGGTGTTACTTGCAACTCAAATGGAACTCGTGTCACAGGAATCCATCTTCCAGGTATTGGATTCAAAGGATCCATTCCGGAGAACACTCTAGGGAAACTAGATGCACTTAGAATGCTGAGCCTTCATTCCAATGGCCTTAGAGGAAATCTTCCTTCTGATATCCTCTCCATTTTTTCACTCCAATATGTAAACCTGCAGCAGAATAACTTTTCAGGCCTTATCCCTTCCTCTATCTCAACTAAACTCATAGCATTGGATATTTCCTCTAACAACTTCTCTGGCAGTATCCCATCTACATTTCAGAATCTCACTAGACTTACTTGGTTGTATCTCCAAAATAATTCCATCTCTGGAGATATCCCTGACTTTAACCTTCCAAGTCTCAAGTATTTGAATTTGAGCTATAATAACTTGAATGGCACAATTCCAAATTCCATCAACAATTTCCCATACAACTCTTTTGTTGGAAACTCTCGCTTATGTGGACCACCTCTCAATAACTGTTCTTCAATCTTCCCTCCATCTTCTTCTCCTTCCCTTTCTCCTTCTCCTTCTCCTAAACATCAACCACTCTCTCCAGCATCTCCCCAAAATAAAAGAGCTACCACTTCAAAGAGTTACTTTGGCCTAGCTCCTATACTTGCTCTAGCAATAGGGGGGTGTGCCTTTATCTCTCTCCTAGTTTTGGTGATCTTTGTATGCTGTTTGAAGAGGGAGAAGAGTGAAAGCAGTGGCATACTGAAAGGAAAGGCACCTTGTGCTGGAAAGACTGAGGTTTCAAAGAGCTTTGGCAGTGGAGTGCAAGAGGCTGAAAAGAACAAATTATTCTTCTTTGAAGGTTGCTCGTACAGCTTTGACCTTGAAGATTTGTTAAAGGCTTCAGCTGAAGTTCTTGGAAAGGGGAGCTTTGGAACAACATACAGGGCTGCTTTGGAGGATGGAACAGCAGTGGTAGTTAAAAGGTTGAGGGAAGTTCTGGTTGGAAAGAAGGAGTTTGAGCAACAGATGGAGGTTGTGGGAAGAATTGGAAGGCACCCCAATGTTATGCCCCTCCGAGCTTATTATTATTCCAAAGATGAGAAACTTCTAGTTTACGACTACATGTCAGGAGGCAACTTGTTTACCTTGTTGCATGGTATGTTTTACTTCGATTTGATGTCTCTTTTTTGTTTCATCAGTCATGCACCATTCTCTTCTATTAATCAAGATTAAGAAATAGACAAAATATGCTTTTCTTTCTTCACCATTCTTTAACTGCATTATATTTATCTTGCTACTTGATGAGAGTAACCATAAGACTAAGGCTAGATCCAATGTTTATGTTAAGTTATTGAAGAGGTTCAATGACTTAATGCAATGGAAAAGGTGTTCAATTTGCTTAAAAGTAGCATGTTTTATGATTTCTACATGAGAGTCTCTTAGTTATAACTAAACTATGATAAATTAGCTTAAATTAGAACCAATCAACATCGATGATTGTTTAGCCTAAATTATAAGGATTAGTAAAGGGAATGGACAAAATCTGCTATCCTTTGTTCATCATTCTACAGCTGCATTATATTATTTATGTAGCAATAAATAATTCATGCAACTACGTTACACACACATTTTCTATTGTCAATTGTAATAAAAAGTTATATCTATTCCTTATTCTTCTATCCTTTCAAAACAACAATAGGAAACCGAGGTGTTGGAAGAACTCCATTAGATTGGGATTCAAGAATAAAGATTTCACTCGGAGCTGCAAAGGGAATTGCTTCCATTCACACTGATCAGATGGGTTCAAAACTCACTCATGGCAACATCAAGTCATCCAATGTGCTCATAACTGAAGAACATGATGGCTGCATCACTGATGTTGGACTTAGTCCTTTAATGAGCACCCCATCAACCATGTCAAGAGGCAATGGTTACCGTGCTCCCGAAGTAACCGAGTCCCGGAAGATCACACAAAAGTCTGATGTTTACAGCTTTGGAGTGCTCCTTCTTGAAATGCTTACAGGCAAGACTCCACTGGGATATCCTGGCTATGATGACATGGTTGATCTTCCAAGGTGGGTGAGGTCCGTGGTTCGTGAGGAATGGACAGCTGAAGTTTTTGATGAGGAGCTGCTGAGAGGGCAATATGCTGAAGAGGAGATGGTGCAGATGCTTCAGATTGCATTGGCTTGTGTGGCAAAGTTAGCAGATAATAGGCCAACAATGGATGAAGTTGTTAGGAACATAGAGGAAATTAGGCACCCTGGGTTGAAGAACCGCACTACATCGTCTGAGTCTGAATCTAATGTACAAACTCCATGATTATTTTGTATAGGTATACTTGCCTTGCCATGCACTCAATATTTTCTGTACAAGGAATAACCTTGTTGTGTCTGTAGACTTTATACAGTTATTGTAACTTTATTGTATGTTCAGATGAAATAGTAAGTAGTTTCTTTCTTATTCCCCAAATGCAGTAGGAAATGTAGTGTCAAATGAGTGATTATTGAAGAAGTAAAAAATTTAAAACCTTGCTGTCCAGTATATCTCAAGAATTTTTTCTATTATTCTAGATAAGGAATATTGGAAATCTTTAAATTCCCATTTCAAGGTATGAGCCATACCTCTGAAAATGCCAGCATTCCAAATGTACACAGTATATAGCAAGTAGAAAAGTGGAATTCAGACAGAATGTTTGTTTTGTCGTAAAACTGATTTTATGGTATTTATCACATGAAAAATACAGGTCAGGTATATATATTCATACTTGATCTTATTGTGCTACACTTAAGTGATGTTCCCTTTTAGCAACATAAAAGTATAAGATTTTTATTTGTAAAGAAGGTATTTATTACATAAAAAATACTATAAAGTCATAATAATATTTTTTCCATTTTTCTAAGAGAAATTAAAAGTATTTAGTAAGATATACTTAATGCTCCTTAATCAGTGCCCTGGTTGGTTTTGGTCTTGCTTTGTTCTCCTTTTGCTTAGTAGTTAAGAAACGCGTGTAAAACTTATTTCGGATTGCTGAAACTCCTTGAAAGTGATTCCTAAGACTCAAAGTAAGGGTTCCCCACCACTCTCTCTCCTCTTGGCGCTTCCTGACGCCTTTGGGTCCAAGTTTTGATTTTGGTCTCGCTTTGATCCCTTTTTGCTTAACAGTTAAGCAAAGCATGTAAAACTCGTCTCGAATCGCTAAAACTCCTTGAAAGTGACTCGTAGGACTCAAAGGAAGGGTTCCCCACCGCTCCCTTCTCTCCTGGCATTTCCTGACTCCTTTGGGCTCAAGTTCCGGTTTTGGTCTCACTTTGATCCCCTTTTGCTTAGTGGCTAAGGAATGCGTGCAAAACACGTCTTGGGCTGCTGAAACTCTTTGAAAGTGACTCCTAGGAATCAAAGGAAGGGTTCCCAACCGCTCTCTCCCCTCTTGACGCTTCCTGGTGCCTTTAGTTGAAGTTGTACTTTAGTTGCTACCGTTTCTTCATTCAGTTTTTTGCTATTTTATTTTTTAGTTAAAGTTGTTTGACTGTTTCAAATAACTTAGTCAGTAGTATTTTTATATTTTTTTGGAAGTTGTTAAACATGGAATCATGTCCCATGTGTAGTTCCTATTTTCTTGTTTTTCAGTTTAAGTTTCAGTTGTATTTAAAGTCTTCATCAATCTAATAAAAATACAGACTTTACAATAAAAATTTTGTTCTTATTTACATCTTATGAAACTGATTTATTCTTTCATTTCTTTTAAAACTCCAACAAACTGGTATCTAGAGCTCTCTTCTTGAGGGACCTATGACTGAGAAATACTTTATCTTCGTTTTCTTCATCCATGAATTCATAAACACCATTCACGGCACTAGCACCACCAGTTTTTGATGGTGAAGGTTATCGTGTCTGGGCAGCAAGGATAAGGGCTCATCTTGAGGCAAATGATCTCTGGTAAGCTGTGGAGGAGGACTATGAAGTTCTTCCATTGCCTGCAAAGCTGACAATGGCGCAGATCAATACTCATAAGGAGAGAAAATCAAGAAAATCGAAGGCACAAGCTTCGTTATTTGCTGCTGTCTCTCCTGAAATCTTTTTCAGACTCATGACGATAAAATCAGCTTTTGAAGTTTGGAATTTCTTGAAAAAGGAGTATGGAGGAGATGAAAAGATTAACAGAATGAAAATTCTAAACCTGATCAGGGAGTTTGAGTTCCAGAAGATGAACGAATCTGAGACAGCTAAGGAGTACTTTGACAAACTACTCAGAATCGCAAACAAAGTAAGATTACTTGGTTATGAATTTCCTAATTCTAGATTAGTACAAAAAATTCTTGTAACTATTCTTGAAAGGTTTGAAGCTACCATTTCTTCTTTAGAAAACTCCAAAAATCTGTCAAATATTAGTTTGGCAGAATTGATGAATGTGTTGCAGGCACAAGAACATAGAAGGCTTATGAGGTCTGAAGGGTTTGTTGAAGGTGCACTAGCTGCCTTATGGGGGAAAAGGAAAAAAATTTGAAAGTTATAAGAAGGACAATTCTGATTTCTCTCCTTATAAACATTGTGGAAAAAAAAAATCATCCACCTTTAAAGTGTTGGAGGAAGCCAGACCAGAAATGTAAAAAATGCTTGAAGATGGGGCATCATCAAAGAATTTACAAAAGCAACAATCAGCAAACAATAGTCACGCAAGAGAATGTGCAACAAAAGAACGTTTCTCAAGTTGCTGATGAAGAAGAGGAGTAGCTTTTTGTGGCCACTTGCTTTGCCATCTCCAATTCAAGCGAGAAGTGGCTAATTGACAGTGGTTGCACTAATCATATGACATTTGATCGTGACCTCTTTAAGAAATTAGATAATTCTGTAGTTTCCAAAGTGAAGATTGGAAATGGAGAATACATTACAGTCAAAGGAAAAGGCACAGTAGCAATTGAAAGTATTTCAGGTACAAAACTTATCAAAGATGTGTTATTTGTACCTAACATTGGTCAAAATTTATTGAGTGTTGGCCAGTTGATTCAAAAAGGTTTCAAAGTTATCTTTGAAAGTGATCAGTGTTTGATCAAAGATGCAAATGACAACGAGGTATTCATAGTAAAAATGAAAGGAAAAAGCTTTGTGCTTGATCCAATGAAGGAGGAGCAAACAACATTCTCTGCAACAAATGTCCACACCAAAGTTTGGCACAAGAGGCTTGGACACTTCAATCATATAGCTGTAGTAAATTTGCAAAGAATGGAATTGGTTCAAGGTCTCCCCTGTCTTGAATCAAAAATTCCAGACTGTAAAGTTTGTCAACAAGGAAAGCAATCAAGACTTCCATTTAAGCAATCAACTTGGAAAGCTACTGGGAAGCTGCAATTGATACATACGGATGTGGCTAGTCCTCACAGCACTCCATCTCTCAATGGTAGCAGGTACTTTTTGATTTTTATTGATGACTACTCCAGAATGTGTTAGATATATTTTCTTAGATTCAAGTTAGAAGTTGTTGGTGTTTTTTGGCAATTCAAGCAATGGATTGAAACACAAAGTGGTCATAAAATACAAGCATTAAGATCTGATAACAGCAAGGAGTACACCTCCAATCAATTTAATTATTTTTGTGAAGAAGCAGGGATTGAATATCAACTCACTGTACTTTACACTTCACAACAAAATGGAGTCAGTGAATATCAATTTAATTATGGAGATGAATACATGTTTGATGTTTGAGAAAAATTTGCCAAAAGAGTATTGGCCAGAAGCCGCACATACTGCAGTCTTCCTTCTTAACAGGCTTTCTACAAAAGCCGTCATAGAAAAAAACTCCATATGAAGCCTGGTATGGTTTTAAACCCTCTGAAAAATCTCAAAGTATTTGGTTGCTTGTGTTTTGTTTATGTTCCTCAGACAAAACGAGATAAGTTGAACAAAAAGACAGAAGCTGGGATCTTTGTCAGTTACAGCTCAATCTCTAAAGCTTACAAAATTTTTCAACTAAACACAATTTTTTTTTTTGATAAGTAGAGATGTGCATTTTATGGAAATAATGAGTGGGATTTGGATGAAAAACAAGTAGTTGAATATCCTAATCAAGTTTCAAAATCTCAACTTAATGAAATGAGCTGGTGATGACATTCCAGTTAGAGGTATCAAATTGCTTTATGATATTTACCAAAGATGTAATGTTGTTATACTTGAACCAACAGATTTCTGGGAAGCAGAAAATGATCCAAAATGGACTGCAGCAATGAAAGAAGAGCTCTTAATGATTGGAAAAAATGAAACATGGAAGTTGGTGAGAAGACCCACAAATAGAAAAGTGATTGGTGTGAAGTGGGTATTTAGAACCAAGTTAAATCCTGATGGCTCAATCAACAAGCATATAGCCAGGCTTGTTGTAAAAGGTTATGCTCAAATTTTTGGTGTTGATTTTTCTAACACTTTTGCTCTTGTTGCTAGATTAGACACAATCAGACTGCTGCTTGCAATAGCTGCACAAAAGGGTTGGAAAGTTTACCAACTTGATGTTAAGTTAACATTCTTAAATGGTTTCTTGGATGAGGAGATTTATGTCAAATAACCTAAAGGCTTTACTGTGAAAGGACAAGAAAATGATGTGTACTTGCTCAAGAAGGCCTTGTATGGCCTGAAACAGGCCCCAAGAGCATGGTACAACAGAATTGATGAGTACTTGATGAAATTAGATTTCAAAAGAAGTCTTAATAAAGTTACCCTCTACATTAAAGGTGACGAAATCAATTTTGTTGTTGTCTAATTATATGTGGATGATTTGCTAGTTACAGGAAGCAATGAAGAGCTTGTGAGAAAGTTCAAAGAAGATAATGAAGCAAATTTTTGAGATGATAGATTTAGGGGAAATGACTTATTTTCTATGAATGGAAATAAATAAATAAAATGGAGAAGTATTCATCTATCCAAAGAAGTATGTTAAAGAAATTCTAAAAAAATTCAGAATGGATGAATGCAACAAGAGCATAGATACTCCAATGTGCCAGAAGGAGAAGCTGAGCAAAAAAGATAAAGTTGAACCAGTTGATGAAACTTTTTACAGAAGTCTAGTTGGTTGCTTAATGTACTTAATGGCTCTTAGACCTGATATCTTATATTCAATAAGTCTATTATCTAGATTTACCAATTATATAATTGAAACACATCTTACTGCTGCCAAATAAGTCCCGAGGTATGTGAAAGGGACATTAAATTTTGGAATCAAATTTTGCATAAGTCAGGATTATGTATTGCAAGGATATTCTGACAGTGACTGGGGAGATTCTCTTGATGACCTGAAGAGCACTTCAGGCTACTGTTTCTTGTTTAGATCATGTGTGTTCTCATGATGTTGCGAAAAGCAAAATACCATGGATCAGTCTATAGTAGAAGCTGAATTTACTGCAGCTAGTATTGCTGTAAATCAAGCTTTGTGGTTAAGAAAAATGTTAGTAGATTTGAATATAAAGCAAGGGAGATTCATTGAAACATTTGTTGATAATCAAGCTGCTATTTTTATTTCAAACAATCCTATTTTTCATGGAAAAATCAAACACTTCAACATCAAATTATTTTTTCTTCGAGAAGTGCAAAAGGAAGGTACAGTTAGCTTGACTTATTGCAAATCTGAATTGCAACTTGCTGATATATTTACCAAGTCTTTACCAAGAAGCAAGTTTGAGTTTCTTAGAGAAAAATTTAGAGTTTGCAGCAACCAAATCAAAGAGGAGTGTTGAAGTTGTACTTCAGTAGCTGCTGTTTCTTTATTCAGTTTTTTGTTGTTTTATTTTTATTTATTAGTTAAAGTTGTTTGACTGTTTCAAATAACTTAGTCAGCAGTAGTTTTAGATTTTGTTGGAAGTTGTTAAACATGGAATCGTGTCCCACGTTTAGTTCATAATTTTTTATTTTTCAGTTTGAGTTTCAGTTGTATTTAAAGTCTTCACCAGTCCAATAAAAATACAAATTTTACACAGAAAATTTTGTTCTTATTTACGTCTTATGAAACTGATTTATTCTTTTATTTTTTTTTTTAAAATCCAACAAAGAACATAAGACGATCCTATAAACCAATCCTGTAAGAGTGTGGGGGTTTAAAATGTCAACCTGAAATTTTTTTATAAAGTCCATGTTCATGGTTTGTGTTGTTGCACTGATGCTACATGCAGCCTTTTATGTTGAAACCTCTTCTTAGGTCTCTCATGTAGTAGATATTACAACAATGTAGAGATGACAAATGGATATATACCCATGTTCCGTCCCTTACATTTTTTTCTTCAAATAAATCATATAAGTTCTTCTTAGACATAAAAGTAAGCTAGATATAATATAATTGCATTGCACTGGTTTGATTAAACATGAGAAAAAGATAATTTAAATACAAAAATATAAGTTAAATAATTTACTATTAAAGTGTAAATATTTATAATATAAGGTGTATTTTTTTTTACAACAAATGAATGAATTGAGTGAGTTATTTATTCTGTAACCAATGAAAAGAATAGCATAATACATACATGCATATGTTTAAATGGTAAAAATTCTGTAATTCTAAAAATATATAATGAGACTATGAATGAACCGGGTCAAAATGTAATACTAAAGATAAAAGGTTTGTTAATAAAGTCATTAGAATATAAAGATCAAGCTTTTATATATTGCAACAAAGGTTAAAAACTTAAAGAATTCTTAACTGATATAAACATGTAAATTTAAAGATTTAACTTCACTATAATTTAACCCACTTCTGCTCACGTAACTCAACTTCAACCCCAAATTCAATCGATTTAAAAATTCCCTGTCCCATTTGAGACAGGGTAAGTAATAGCTTTAGGCATGGTTTTTTTTTTATATGTCTAGTTTGTAACTCAATTGGCACCTACACAACCCTTCAAAGCTGGAGTTTGATATTGATATCCTCAAGACCACTGTGTTTGGAACTCCAATGTAAATAAAGAAATTCGATAGATACAATTCTTGTTTATTCTATCATTAAGATATGTATTCCTATTAAAAAAACAATTCCACAAAATAAAAGACAAAAAACATTGCTCTGAAAGTTTTTAAACGAGAAAAAGTTTTATAAACTTCCCAAAACTCTCATAATCTTATGTTTTAAATTTTTTAAATTTGAAAAATTTTGTATTCACCTTCTTTCTTCAATTCCCTTACCTTTTTCGACTCAGATGTTATAAAAGTAGAACCTGATTAGGCTATTAAACCGATCATGTCTTTGGATTGAACATTTAATTTAATCACAGTTTAATTACTAACTTCACTAGTTAAATCAATCAACAATGACACGGGAGTCAACGTTGATCCTACTCATTGTGGTTTTCCAGCTTTGTTCTTGATATCTGGAATTAGTTTACACTATTTCCATCCCAATAATAATAATAATTAAAATGAATACGATGATAACTAAAATTCCCGTTAAGGACCATAGAATAATAACGCCAAAAGAGAAAGGCATAATCAGACATTATGGTCAAAGTTACGCGGGGAGTTCTGTGCATTTTCCTCCTCTTCTTGTTTATAATACTTTTCATCTTTTAACGGATGTAAAAAGACGCAAGTTAAAAAATATTAAATGTTTTTATTAAATACTTTAAATTATCAAAAATTAAATTTTATTTTAAAATAATAAATACTCCTATTTTCAATAAAAAAAATTACTTTTAATTTCTTAGTACATATGAAAAAAGCTTAAAAGATTTTCTCCCTCTTTATGCTGGACACAGTACAGAGTATTTAGAGAGAAAAACAAAGAAAGAGGATAATGAATGGTGACAAGAATACATCAATGTCCTTACATTTCCTACCCTTTAAATAATTCATAACTGTATAAATTGTGCCAACATATGTGACAACGAAAAGTTAAAAAATTTAAAGGGTTTTGCCTTGAAGGATGCGTGGATTTGGCCGCATAAACGGTCACGTGTCAACTCAACCAAGCAAAGCATATTAGTTTGGAGATTACATGCATTGATTTAATCAAATAATCTTCATGCATATCCTAGAATATCCAAAGGGAAACCAAGGAATTAGAATCCCTTGTCAAGAAACAATGAAAGGTAACGCAGGCAGTAATATGAAAGACAGAAAATAAAAAACAAAACTACATTCGTTTATATTATGTTGGAAGCTAGCATAGGGTGGAAACTAAGTGCAATACACCCCTTAGTACACATAGGAGGATTTTAAAGCTTCAACTCTAAACATTGTGTTCTCAAATATCAATGCATTTTCCTTGAACCAGCTGATATTTGAGAAATCCGTTATTCCCCATGATGTTTAGTCCAGCTTTTGGAAAGCAATATCTCATTTGTCAAAATTCATAAAGACAAGTGAACTTGGTTCTTATAAACGTAGCATGTTCCTGCTCTTTCCTTTTGATCACATTCTGCCATCAGATACCAACCTTTGTTCAGTACCATGGCCTCAAACCAAGGTGTACTATTAACTCTTGACAATGCCAAAACACAAAGCTACCATTACAAGGCAATTGTGATCGCTGGGATGGGGTTCTTCACAGATGCATATGACCTCTTTTGCATCACTGCAGTTACAAAGCTTATAGGTCGCTTGTACTACTTTGATCCCACTAGTAACAGTCCAGGGAAGCTTCCAACGAATGTAAACAATGCAATAACTGGGGTTGCATTATGTGGAACCCTTTCAGGACAGCTCTTCTTTGGCTGGCTGGGTGATAAACTCGGCCGAAAAAAGGTTTATGGCATAACTCTTGCAACAATGGTGGGGTGTGCCTTAGCATCAGGACTTTCTTTTGGCTACACAGCCAAAAGTGTGATTGTTAGTCTATGCTTCTTTAGATTCTGGCTTGGATTTGGCATTGGAGGAGACTACCCTCTCTCTGCCGTTATAATGTCTGAATATGCCAATCAAAAAACCCGAGGAAGTTTTGTTGCTGCTGTTTTTGCAATGCAAGGGATAGGAATATTGGTTGCTGGAGGGGTAGCCATGTTGGTGTCTCGACTGTTCTTAGCATCTTATCCTGCTCCTGGTTTTGCAAAAAATCCTGTGCTATCTACTCAGCCAGAAGGAGATTTTGTTTGGAGAATAGTGCTCATGTTTGGTGCATTTCCTGCAGCCCTCACTTACTACTGGAGAATGAAAATGCCAGAAACTGCAAGGTACACTGCCTTAGTGGAAGGAAACCACAAGAAGGCTGTTGAAGATATGGCCAAAGTTCTTGTTAAGGATATACCTTCAGAAGAATCAAATAATAGGATTTCTTCCATGCCTAGCCTCTCTTATGGATTCTTCTCTTCAGAGTTTCTCGAAAAGCATGGCCTTCACCTTTTGGGAACAACTAGCACCTGGTTCTTGTTGGATATTGCCTTCTATACCCTTCTGCTGACACAAAAGGATATTTACCCTGCAAGTGGACTTGTACCAAAGGCTTCCAGAATGAATGCTATAGAGGAGGTGTTTGAGCTCTCCAAAGCAATGTTCGTGGTGTCCCTGCTTGCCACAGTACCTGGATACTGGTTCACAGTGTACTTCATTGACAAGATAGGGAGGTACAAAATCCAGCTTGTTGGATTCTTTTTAATGTCTGTTTGCATGTGGTTGCTGGGGCACAATTATGGAAAATATAGGGGAGTTTCTGACTGTGGCCCTGATGCAAAATATGATTATTGTCATGGAGACCATACCATGTTTTCCATTCTTTTTGGAGCTAGCCTTTTCTTTGCTAACTTTGGACCCAATAGCACAACATTCATAGTTCCGGCAGAGTTGTTTCCAGCTAGATTCCGTTCGACGTGCCACGGGATATCAGCAGCTGCCGGGAAAGCTGGAGCTATCATTGGTGCTTTTGTGGTGCAAAGCAACATAGAAAATGCGGATAACAAAACAAAAGGAATGAAGAAGGCACTTATGGCACTTTCAGTAGTCAACATGCTTGGATTCTTCTGCACTTTCTTAGTGCCAGAAACACAAGGCCGATCACTAGAAGAAATCTCAGGAGAGGATAATGAACTCCCCAGCAATATTACTGAAGATAATGAGAAAGAGATGACAAATGATGTAACTGAGGGAACAAGAAATACTAGTGTTGATAAGCCTCCAGGAACCATAATAGTTTAGTTCCTGGGCTTACAACTAGAATATCCCAACCAGAAGCATCAATAAGAGAATAAAAGGAAGAAGGACAGCAAATAATAATGTTTGTTTCAGTAATTTCTCCAGTGTTTTCAATGTTTTACCTGTGCTTTATACACTAGCCAGGCTGAAAGAGGCAAAAAAAAAAAAAAAAGAAAGAAAGAAAGAAACGAAAAGAGGTGTTTGTGTAACTGCGAGAATAAGTGCTTCTGGGTTAAGTATGTATACTTAATTTCTGTAACATCTACTGTCAGTGCTTCTGTTGTATGGAGGTATTAAATTCTATACGTTTTAATTTATCTCTCTCAGAAGAACCAATAATTAAAGGTATATTTAAGTCCTTTCTTCCCTTTCATTCTAGTTCCAGATGATAAACATCAGAATCCAGTTATTCACAGTGAACAGAATGTACAAAAAGACCAGTCATGACACCAATTAACTGAGAGAAATTAACTTGTGAACTAAATCTGATTTTGTTTTTAGTCAGGGAAAAGAAGAGTCCATGTTCATCTCAAATAACAATAACAATCAGCTATAGAATCAGATGTGTTTTCTTTTTGGTCATAAACAATAAATTTAATACAAAAGCAAGTCATTGATGTCAAGCTCATATTGTAACAAAGAATACCCGCCAGTGGACACTCTGGAATGTTGCTTCACACAGATCTCCACATTACACAATTATTAGCATTACTGGCTTGTATAACTACCAGAAAGTATAGCCAATATATATGTTACATGATTGGGCTGCTATAATTGAACCTTTGGCATTTCTATCACAATACAACAGGAGTAGCAGTATAGGAGAACTTCTTGAAAGTATTATCATCCTTTTTGGGACTTGCAGCTGGAGAATCCAGCAAGGGCATGGTAGTCCACCGCTCCTCAAAGTTAGCAACACACTGCTTCCCATCAACTTCCGGGACAAAGCTTGGCCTTATTTCACGGGCTTCCAGTTTTTTCCAACTGACTGATTTAAACCATTTGTGACCTTTAATTTCCTCACCTCCACTTAGTCCACTTCCAAGGCGTTTGCTGGCATCCTTCTGCAGCAGCTGAAGAGGAAAACTTCATTATACTTTTGTCACCCAATACATGATACTGGTGGAGCCACTATATAAAATGATTGGTTCTATAAGGAATATTTCACTACCATATAAGTAGTGGATTGTTCAGATCCATTCAACAACATAAGTTTGCCCAGTAGGGGAGGATTTCTCAAAACCATATTAAGGAAAAATAAAATTGTGCATCAGATGTAAGTGAAAAATTGTACCCCTTTTAACAGAGAATGTGCTTCACTTGACAAAAAAGATGGAAGCTTGATTTTGTCTTTAATTATCTTCTGCTGGATCTTTTGTCTATTTCCACCAGCGAAGGGAAGCTGTAATTAGAGTAAACAATAATAACTCATTCATGCACTAACAAACTAAGGTATCCGCAATGCATAATTAACACATCAGGTAGTTCAAGGAGTTGTTTGGAAAGAGAGGTTTTATGGGGAAGGGGAAATTTTTTATTTTAAATAAATATATTTAAAATTATTTTTTTCAAAATAAAAGATAAAAGTGATATATTAATATAAATTTAATGTATCAATCATGTATTATCATCATTAATGGTATTTAATTATCTCAATTTAAAATTAAAAAAGAATGTTCTCTCTTCTAAAAACCATCTCCCAAACATACCAGAGTCTCAAGGAACCGTATGTCATAGACACCAAATCATAATGGATGATGAAGATAACTTTTTCAATATCTTCAGCAATCTTAGAGACAAGCCTACCCAAACCACCGAACTATAATAAAGAATATAGCTATAAGCTGTTAGAGGCCTTTCTTTGTTTTCACTTTTCAACAGGGATATTGCATTAACTAGCAAATTGCAATCATTCACCATAATCTGGGAAGAATGCAGTTGGGGGTTGATATCATCAGCCATCATTCCTTGGTTTTACATATGCAATGTTAGCTTCTAAGTCTTGATGCAGAGGCAAAATAAGTTCCATACAGACCAAGCATACAAACTTATTTTGTCAGTCATTAGAATGAAGCAATTTCAGTAAACACTAGAGAAAAATGCTTTAGTCTGTCAATAACATGCGAGTAATAACTTCCAATTATTTTCATTAAAGTAGAAAACAGCCAATTGCCTTCAAGGTAATCAAGATAATCAATCAAGCTCAAAGAAATCTTAGCTCCATCTTCAGTAGTAAACACTTCAGAGAGGCATGTGTCAAAGGGGAAAAGGAAAAAAAAAGTGCAGCCACTATTTCATACTAAAAGAAGATGAAAAAACCACCAAGATTCTGACCTTTCCAGTGAGCATTTCATACAGTAAAATTCCCACACTCCACCAGTCAGCTACTTTATCATGACCTTTCCCCATAACAATTTCAGGGGCCATGTACTCTAAAGTTCCACACATAGAATTTGACCTTTCATTCTTATTGAATTGCTTAGCCAGGCCAAAATCTGTTAACACTACCTGGTATCAGGCACATGAATATGCCATAATACAACAGGATAGAAAGTAGATACAAATCAGAAATCCCTTTAGAACAAATAAATAGGCATGTGGCATGCCGAATGCAGAGAAAGAGACTCATAGACACACACGTTCATGTTATCTTACATGACCATCGGCATCGAGAAGAATATTTTCAGGTTTAAGATCCCTGTGCATTATGTCATTTGCATGAAGATAAGAAACTGCACAAATAATCTCTGCAACATAGAAGCGTGCCAATTCTTCCCTGACAGAAGTTACATGTGTAAGACATCTGTATATTAGCATTTCATAGTAGTACAGAATGCAGCTTATAATACCTGAACAGGCCTTGGCGATAGAGCTGAAAGAAAAGGTGGCCACCATTGACAAAATCAAGCACAAGGTACAACCTATATTTGGTCTGCAAGTCTAAAAGCATTTGTCATTATGCAAATAATAGGTACTATCCATTTTTCCTAACCGGTATATATCTGCACAAACCTAACATATGTGCAGCGATAAATAATATGAAACATATGATATAACAATTAACTTAATTCAAGCAAAAATATTACTTGGAATGAGTATCTGAGCCGCACAATAAACGAGTGATCCACCTTTGTCAATAAATCCCTTTCAGATTTTACATATTCAGCTTGATTTCTTTGCATGATCTTATCCTTGCACATGACCTTCATAGCATATATTTCTGATGTACCTGCCTTCCTCACCTGGTACACCTTACCAAAAGCGCCTTGGCCAACAACCTTCAAAACATCAAAATCCTCAACTCCAATAGTCTGATCATTTAGACAGTAATTATTCAAATGTAAATTATTTTTCTCTACAGCATCATTGGTAACAGAATCTTCCTTGAGTTCGTTCTTAGTTTTTTGAAAGACCTCCTCCACAAGATCCAAATTGTCATGTAACGTGAGCTTGCTAAGCTCCAAGGACTGACTAATACAGGTTGTGGGAGACAGTAAAGATTGTGAGCCAATGTGAATTACAGCAGGATCATTGTAAATGTTTTCATTTGAACCTGGTATTACTACCAAATTTCCATGCTTCTTGGAGTTTACTGCTATGGAGGCTTCAACAGGAGATGGACCAAACACATCAGAAAATTCAGAATCCAAACAATCAGAATAAGTCAAAAGATCAGGTGGCCCACTTGGAAGAAGCAAATGGTTCAGGAAAGGCTTCTGTGAAGTGTTTCCATTTAATATAGAGAACTGAGAGGAAACCATGGTTCTTTGATTAAATAAGAAGACTACAGAAGATGACTAAGAATCTTGAGAACTATACTTGTGCCTTGCCAAAAGATTGAAGACCACAAATGGAGGAAGATGGAAACTCAACAATAGGCTGTATTAATTGGAAATGAGCAAATACTTTAGGAGATCCTAGCAAACTTGATAACAAGAAGCAAACTAAAATCCAGAAAAAGAAATTGTTATTGCTTCCTGGTTTACAGGAAACAGTAGATGCAGCAATGTGTCTCAAGTTCATGAAGATCCGGTTGTCAATGCTGCAATTCAAGACAATGGAACAGTTATTTCCAGTTTGCAATAAATATAAGTGTAGAACAAAGAGAATTAACTGCACCATAAATTGCAACAAATATTTAAACACAATGTGAAAAGTAAAAGAAGAAAAGAAATTACAAAAAGGGGAAGGGGTCCAAATTGGTAGTTTCAAATTTGGCTCCAGACAAAACAAGTTTAGCATCATCACAGAAACTTTGCTTACTGTGTGCTTCATGTGATCACAAATCACACAAAAGAAAATTCAGAAAAGTTCCAATGATTAGATAACATACCATCAAAATACTTTCTTTCAATCACAACTAACTCCCAAATGAAGAAATATGAAGGGATGGGAGGGACAGGGGTGGAGAACACAAAAATAGAATTTCATAATTACCATAAAACTTTCACAAAAACAAAAATGAGTTAAAAAAAGAAGAAGAGAGAGAGAGCAAAATACTAACATAGAACAAGTTCTGGGAAGAGGGTTTCAAGGTTCCCTGACATTGACGAGAATGCAGATGAGATGAGAGCCGTTAACATAGGAAACTAATTTAAAAGGTAGTTTTACAATGTTTTTTTCATTCACGATATCAAAACAATAATATTTGTTTTTTGCCTTGCTAATCAGATTCTAAAAAACAATAATGCTGATTAATAGTAATAACAATAATATCTTTTTGGCGTTGTTAATCAGTGAATTTATGAAAAATAACGTGGAAGTTATAAAATAAGAATCCTGATCAGAATATATTAATAACATGCTATCTTTAACTTCTTAATTAATTAATTAATTTTTTAATTTTGACGGCGGTTTTCTTATTCGCCGCCACCGTGTTGTACACTTTTACTGAACGGAAAATAATAAGTTGACTTTGGGAAGAAAAGTGGACAATGATTAACCACAACGTGGGAATACGTGGCGTCTTTTCATTGGTGACATATACTAATTAAGTGACATTAATAGAACGAATCTCGCAGTCGAAATAAACAAAATTGAAACTACAAAGTTGCTTAAAACTTTTGTAAAAAATAAAATTTTATTTATTTATTGTCCATTGTTATCATTATAATTATTAGTTAATTTGTTTAATTAAAATTGAATATAAAAATAAAGAAGGAATAAAATGGGAACTTGTGTTGTGTGGCGTTGCGTTTGGGATGAGCTTCGATGAACCTAAAGCAAAGCAACAGAATGCATTACAGCGAGGATGAACTTGTACGCAACTGTTTATTTCTTTGCGTACGCAAATCAAATTCCATTTTATTCTTAACAATTATTTGATCCCTAAATTGATTAACATTAATCAAAGAATGAGTGAGAACTCATTTATGTGCATTAATGTTGTGCAAAAATTTAATAAATTTTAAAACCAAGATCAAACAAGTATGTGAACATGTTTTTTCGTTTCATTATTCTAAGTTGTCAAAGAATGAGAGTCACCAGTTTGCTAAAGATAAAGATGCATTTATACCCATTTTGCACGTGTCTTTAATAGAAGGAATAATTTCCGTGATACTTTACATAACAATTTAAGAATAGCAAATATATATATATATATATATATATATATATAACTTTTATTAAGTCAAAACTTCCAAACTTGAGTTAATGGCAAAGCATTCTTTAATCTTTTCTTAAAATACAGCACTTTTTCTGTTTTTTAAATATGTTGAGTTAGAAGAATATTTAAGTAAAGAGTCTTTCAATGAGTAGAACATCACAATGCAACTCCAAAACATAATGAATATATAGGTTCATCTCTTTATAAACTCTTAATTTGCTCATATCTCATTCTATGTGGAACTCAATTTATACTTAATTTTAATTAAATAATTAATAGTTGTTTAAATTTAAATTTTAAAGGAAGAATAACCTCCAAATTAAAAAATATTTTAAAATATTAAACTAATTAAGTAACTTAAAGTGAAAAAAATTTTAATTAGAAAAATGTTTATTACATTAAGAATTTAAAAGTAAAAAAAAAAACATTATTTATTTTGATAAAAAAAATATTGTTTCACATACTTAAAATAAACTCAGCTCTTAAACTTAGGTCAATAAAAATAATTGATCATTTCTAGCTAATAGCGCTTATTAGTTTAATAAAAACATATTTCTTGCTAATAAAAATAAAATAATTCTTACATTAGTTTAAATTTGTATTGAAGTAAGATTCATATGAATAATAATAAAAAATGTATCAGTTAAAATTTTAATAAATATCTTAATATTATGCAATTATAATTAAATTAAAATACACTTATTTTCTAAAAAATTATGAAGCATCAAAATCTAAAAGAAAAATACTAAAAAATACCCAAAAAAAAATAGAAAAATTAGGCAAAACATTGAAATTTTAAAATTTTTTTTTTAAATAAACATATAATTTATATAAATTAAAGTTATGTACAAAAAGTTATATTCTTTCGAAAACTAGAAATTGAGTTGGCAAAATTTTTTAAATTAATTGCTAAAAAACCGATGAAGATAATACTTTAAAATCAATTTACTATTTTGTATGTCTATATTGATTCTTCTATGACAAATATAAATATAAATTTTTAAATTAATTATTTTTGAAACCGATTTAGAAGTATTTTTTAAATTAATTCTATCCTAATTAATGTAAAAAGTAATTTAAAAGTACATTGTTGACGAACATTAATTTTGTTTCAGTTTAAGTACAATAAAATGATAAACATCTTGCTTCATTTTATATTTTTTTTCTTCGTTAATGTATTTATTTTAGTATGTTATTAATATATACTAATCTTATTTCAGTTTAAGTATATTATTAATAAATATTTCTATTTTTATTTTATGTTTTTTTTCATTAATTCATTTATTTTTTTCATAACATTTACAATCATTGCATAAACTCAATAAAGATTAAGAAAAACTCTCCATTAAAGTTTGTATTATTGAGCTTATTAGCATTTTTGAACTTCTTTTACAGTTTAGTGTGGCAAAACTTCCATAGTTCTATGTATGTTGCAATTTCAGGCAAGTTACTTTTATTATTATTGCAATCTCATTTTTTGTCTTTTCTTTCTCAACTGCTTGCTTGACAATAGCTTGTAAAACTATAAGAGGAACAAGGATGTGTTCATTTAGGGCACAACAAAAATTATTTTAAACATTTTTAAGATCTGATAATTTTATAATTGATGTAAAAAGTGATAATTTTTTTTAAATAAGATGTATTATAATTATATTAATCGATTTAGAAAGAGCATTGTTTAACTGATTTAAAATAGTCTTACTTATTATATCAGTCATGTCTACTTACATTATTTCATCGATATTATAATGTATATAGGATTTCTTAATACAATATAAATTATTCATTATAATTAAAGAGAGCACAATCAAAACTCTTGGAAAAGTATTTACCAAATAGATTTTGAGAGCACATGGTTTGGAAAAGCAGAAAAAAGCTAGGAGGGTGGCCTAGTATCATAGTTGCATCCAACGTCAAAAGCTGCAGCTTTTACAAGCAAACCAAAGAGGAGGAAAGGGGTAGAGAAGAAGGGGCTATGATCACTGTCTAGTTCATACACATTCAATGGTGCCCACCTCTTTATCATGGCTTCTTGTTGCTCTGCCTTCACCACACTGTCATGCCTTGTCTTTATGTACACTCGCGGCACCTTCTCCACTTTACCATCTTCTGTGAACCTTGCACTCGTCAATGCTAGAATTGGCCCTGGCCTCAACAGCATAGCAGCTAAGGTTGAATCCTGAGTCACAATGGTCAGTGTTATCAGTCACATTACTGTTCAGATACTCATATAATTGTTAAGTTAACATTAATTGGTCACATGACTTCACTTCTAGCTTTGAATAGTAATGCATAGTAAGTCACTCTCTCAAGTTAACTAAACAAAAACGATTGCTTAAATCTTATAAAAACATGTTTACTATATTTTTAACCAACATGAAATATTTTAACAATTTCATCATGATAGAGATGAAAGTAGTCTAACCAGACCATCCATTAAGAGCCTATGGTCTGCCTTGTTTAAGACCTGTCCTATTCAACAAAAAGGCCAAATTCAAGCTTTTTAAAATATCTAATCTAATAAGTAGGATAGGTTAGGCTCACAAAAAAAAAGTATATCAAGGCTAATAGATTAGTCCATTTAAAAGTTAAACTATAACATATTAATAATATTGTTTATTTAGTTAAAAAGGTCATCTTAGTTTATTTATAAATAAGACTGAATTTAGATAAATTTTTATAAGAAAATAAAATTAATATAAAAATAAAAAAGTTAAGTAAAATTAAAAAAAATATAAGTTAGTTTTAACTTACGAAAAAATGTAATATATTACTACTTAAATTTTTTTTTATAAATATTTATTAAAAATTTATTTAAAGTGTATATTAATCCATTTACAATAAGGTCAAATAGTCTATTAAAAAGCCTTAATATGAATCAAACCATTAAATAAGCTAACAGGCTAAGGCAAACTTTTAAAAAAGTAAAGTTAAACTTTAAAAAAATACCAAACAAAAAATAGGATTTTTAAATAGTAAAATAAGCTAAGCTTATTTTTACATAACTTAATCTACTTCCTGTCCTGCTTAATGTGAGTGTCTAAGATTCAACATACGAAGCAAAAAATTAATAAATTAACATATGTATGTGACTCCATGTTAAAATTAGATAGACTTCAATGTTACTAAAAATGACCCAAACTTAGTTCCCTCACAACAATTTAAGTAACTAGCTAGAATGTTCTCTAATCTCGATGGATGTTTTCATTTGGATAATTCTTTTTAATGTTTTTACCCTTTTTCCAAGAATATTGCCATAAATGGTCCTACAAGTGGGAAAGGCAGAAGATAGATGAAAATGAAACCGATGATAAACAAAGTACACACATGTGGGGTACCCTAGATTTGAAAGGTCTGAATAAGTGAACATGGGTTAAACAGTTTTGTGGATAAAGCATGCATGTCCTTTTTCCCCCTCTTTAATATATACCTCATGTGGGCTTAAAGGATAGATGATTTTGCGTTGAAATTCTTTCTTCACCAAAGCACTAGTTGGAAGCTTATCCTGTCCCAGTCCAAATCCTAGCTGGTACACATCTCCAAACTCAGATAGGTCAGGTACACCCTGCTTGAAACCAATCAAAATCACTTTCTAAGCATCATTATGTCTATTATTTACAGAAGGCACAAAAGTTATTAGCTACTCTACTGGCATGCAAACCTAGCAATTAGAGTCACTAATTGTTTTGGTTCTTTTCAATCATTGGAGATATTTGAAGAGTGAAATTTTTTCTATTATACCCACCTGAAGACACAAAAATAGGCCTGTGGAACAGGCTGTCGTACAAACCACTGGTGAGGAAAAGCAAGAAAGCAATAATAATAGATTTAGCAATTTCATGCATGTCTTCAAACA